CATGCTGCTTTAGACAACAAGATGTGCAGAACATGAACTGATACATGCTGCTTTAGACAACAAGATGTCAGAACATGAACTGATACATGCTGCTTTAGACAACAAGATGTCAGAACATGAACTGATACATGCTGCTTTAGACAACAAGATGTGCAGAACATGAACTGATACATGCTGCTTTAGACAACAAGATGTCAGAACATGACTGATACATGCTGCTTTATACATGCTGCTTTAGACAACAAGATGTGCAGATGTGCAGAACATGAACTGATACATGCTGCTTTAGACAACAAGATGTGCAGAACATGAACTGATACATGCTGCTTTAGACAACAAGATGTCAGAACATGAACTGATACATGCTGCTTTAGACAACAAGATGTCAGAACATGAACTGATACATGCTGCTTTAGACAACAAGATGTCAGAACATGAACTGATACATGCTGCTTTAGACAACAAGATGTCAGAACATGAACTGATACATGCTGCTTTAGACAACAAGATGTCAGAACATGAACTGATACATGCTGCTTTAGACAACAAGATGTTAGAACATGAACTGATACATGCTGCTTTAGACAACAAGATGTGCAGAAGATGACTGCTAACAATGAGAATGAAAATAATGTAACCTTTTCTCTCTCCTGCAACATTTTTTAAAATATACCATGGATCCGTGCAAATTCCACCCTAATCCTTAAAAAAAAAATTAGAAAATAATTTGACCCAGGTCATTAACAAATTTTAAAATGTGATTCAGATTATGACCTCTGACCTAATCAGAATTCTCACTTAGGCTACAAGCAAATTATGACATCAAAATCATTTTTTAAAGTCATGTGTTCATTAGAAATTTCCCCTAAATGCCATTTATAGTAAATATATATTCATTTGTGGGCCTCCTAAACATTGTGCATGTGCAAACAGAAGCCAGTGCCACTAGCTAGGCTTTTCGGGGACAGGCTCTAGCGGGAATGCTATGTTAGCAGCATTTGAGATTGAGCCACAGTTGGAAATTCTCGGGGTGATTGGGTCAAAGAGGTGCTCTGTGAAGGTGTGACACCACAGCCATCTGACCAAATAGATCCTGGATGTCAATCCAGCAGAACAAATCCCATATACTCTGTTTAACCTCCTAAAAATTCATTCTTGGGACATCTGAAACAGCTGCCTCAATTTTACCCAGATGCACCCTTGTGTACATCCTTAATGATGCTTCTCATTTGCTGTGAGCTGAGGTTCTGGAATATTTTTAACACTGATGGACAAACACAGGTGGACAAACACAGGTGGACAAACACTGATGGACAAACACAGGTGGACAAACACAGGTGGACAAACACTGATGGACAAACACAGGTGGACAAACACTGATGGACAAACACTGATGGACAAACACTGATGGACAAACACAGGTGGACAAACACAGGTGGACAAACACTGATGGACAAACACTGATGGACAAACACAGGTGGACAAACACAGGTGGACAAACACAGGTGGACAAACACTGATGGACAAACACTGATGGACAAACACAGGTGGACAAACACTGATGGACAAACACAGGTGGACAAACACTGATGGACAAACACAGGTGGACAAACACTGATGGACAAACACAGGTGGACAAACACTGATGGACAAACACAGGTGGACAAACACTGGTGGACAAACACAGGTGGACAAACACTGATGGACAAACACAGGTGGACAAACACTGATGGACAAACACAGGTGGACAAACACAGGTGGACAAACACTGGTGGACAAACACAGGTGGACAAACACTGATGGACAAACACAGGTGGACAAACACAGGTGGACAAACACAGGTGGACAAACACTGATGGACAAACACAGGTGGACAAACACAGGTGGACAAACACTGATGGACAAACACTGATGGACAAACACAGGTGGATTTTTAATAAGATTGCAGCTGGTACTATTAGCCTGTTGACTTGTCACTGGCTGCTGAAGATGGGGACAGAGCATGTGTGGATGTTCTGAGTGCAGTGGTATCAATTCTTGATTAATTTATTCGTAATTCGTAATGATGTTTTAGTCTATACAGCAAAGAGCCAAGTATACTGATTTCTTTGAGAGGAAGAATCTTCCTAATATGCAGCCTGTATATTTTTTTTAATCCTTTTAAATTTATGGCATTGTGGTGCTGGGGTGTTCTAAAGGAAATATTGGTTGTGTTTCTGCCTTCCCCTTTAACACGTAGCTAAGTTGGGACTCACAGTGTGCTCATTTCCCGCCACCAGATTGCCTGCAGGTTTTGCTGAGCTTTTCTTGGCTCTAAACATGGCCTAAGCATGAGTAATTGGGGCAACTGGATCGTCAGGTCCTGAGTCCCTGTGCCTTCACGAAAGTTTCTGGTATTTAGGAGGTTAGCATACTTGTTTCCACTCCTAAGACTGTTCAGCAGCCCTCCGGCTCCTTCCCTCCCACAGGGGGCAGTACGGTGTGGTGCACCGGGTTTTTTATTAAGGATTGCTCCTCTAGATCCATTGTGATTAGCCTGGGGATTCACACCCCCAGTTACCAGGACTACCTCGGGGAGGGTGTGGCTCTTCGCCACGCACAATGGTCTTGGGGTAAGAGAGGTTATGCTAGGTCAAGAGGCTGACACCACAATGGACGCTCCTTTCATGAACAGATATTCACTAGACCTAGGGTGAAGTAAGGGGGGGAAAACCACTACCCACAACACCAACACTTCTTACCCCCTGCCTCTCAACAATTAATTAACCATTTAACAAAAAGGGACCAGGCCACCATCTTCAGACTCAGAACACAACATACTCCACTCAGTGGACACCTAAACAGAATACAGCCACAACACTCCCCAGAGTTCCAGCTATGTAACTACCCTTACAAAATTGTTGACTGTCATCTCTTTGAGTGCCCAAAACTCAGCAAGACAAGAAGAACGCTACTCCCTCCGAGACCAGACAAGTGGAACACCTTGTACCGAGGAAAAGAACAGCTTGTGAAAACATGTAAAATCCACTACATGGCATTGGACCAAAGGGTGAAAGCTCATGCGCCGCTAAATCAATAACAACAACAACAAAAACATTTTTTAAAATGCCAAACCTATAGTCTATCATCCATAATCAGACATAGAGAGACAGAGAGAGACAGAGAGAGAAAGAGAGAGAGATAGAGAGAAAGAGACAGCGAGAGTCAGACAGAGAGAGAGTTTTCTCAATGCTGAGTGTAAAGAGATATAGTTACATTTGGAAATGTTCATAAGATTTTGCTTGAATACATTTATGTAACCAATGGAAATTCATTACATTTGTGGACAATCAGACAGCAGATACTGTGGTACACATGTTTCTCAAATATACAAACAAAGGATAACTGCTAATAATAATATTATTAATAATCATTATAATTTGTAAATGTTTTGAGCCATTCAAAATACTTTAAAAGAAGTGATGCATCATATATTATAACAATAGCAACCACCTTGAGTATTTTCACAATTAAGAAAGTTTAATGACCCAGGTAAAGTCCTGGGAAGTAAAGTCGGCTGGCCTGATACTGACCATATTGCCTACCAAGTGCCAATTGGTATATAAAATATAAGTCTAGCCCATATGCCTAAAGGGAGTGGAAAAGGGTCCTTTACTCTAAAGTGGGAAAACCATTTTGTAATGATTACCTTATCATTGTCATAGCAGCCTGGTCCTCTATGTGGTGCCCCTTTTAAGGGACATAATTCATTGCCAAATCTGTCCTTGGATGTTTTCACAGGAAATAGCTCTCGTTCCTTTGTTGTCAAGAAGGCAACCTGGCCACTCTTCTCACAGACAGCTGTCAAATAGAAATAAATCTTTTTTAAAAAAACTAACAAGATTTTTGCAGCTGCAAATGAAGTCAGATAAGCAGAATAATTAAATTGTGTTAGTCTTTCATACTGCCCATTCCACAAATATGGCAAAGAAATAAATTAATTTAGGTAGACAAATTAACTTACATTACTTTTGATGGGTCTTCCGTCCTGTTAGCAGGCACATTTTCAGGTTGTAAATGATTAAGCTACCTCTAGATATAGAAGTTGTCATTTTCAACTAAGCAATAACTGCCTATGCTTATTGGCAAGGTACATGTTGAGGATGAGATAGTTTGGCATCACTTCTTCACTCCCTCTCTTGCCGCTTTATGTGTCTGTCAAGGGTGTTATAAGGTTTTGTCTCTTGCTCTTCTTGCCATCTCGACAAGAGACACATCAGCCTTTTGAAGAGTTTCTCTGATGTTATCTTTCCGCCTTGTTCTTCCTTCACTTCAAGCTCTATCATTCAAAGCTCAGTGGCTTTAGAATCATTACCTCACAAAACATATTTGGGAAGGTCTTGGAGAAGAAAGTTGCTGTAAAGCTGCAAGTATTATTTATTCATATGTAAAGCTGCAAGAATGTTTGGAAAGGGGAAAGCTTCTGCCAAGAGGTCTGGAAAGCTACAGGCCAGGAAAAGACACATGGGCAAATGTAGCCACTTTTGCTTTTGACATCTATGAAGGATTCCAGAACATACAGGAAACTATGACGGTAGCACTTGATCTCGAGGATCTTTATAATGGAGTAATATATGACGTCTTGATGACTCCACTGAAGGAGAAGGAGGTCAGTCCATGGCTGGTGAATTGGGTTTCAGCTGTCCTGTATTCACGTCGGGTTGCTCTCTGACTGGGCTTATGGAGCTCAGAACCATGCAGTTTAGTTCCAGGACTGCTACTGGGATCCGCCATCTCGCCTATGCTCTTTAACGTGTGTACGAGCAAGACTGCAAGCCTAGAAGCACTAGGAGTTTACAGGATACTGACTTTGGCAGATGATATACTTGCATATAGGCAGGAGGAAGATTAAAAGATGCTATTGATGAAAAGAGATGAACAGGCAGGTTTTTGGTCAAACAGATCCTGCACTGACCAGATAGCCACATTACGTATTATAACAGAGCAAAAGCATTAGATTTATAGACTATGAAAAAGCATTTGACAGCATTGATAGGGAATCTCTCTGGAAATTGATTGGGTAGTATGGAATCCCACAGAAAAATTATTAACTTAGTAAAGGCAACATATAAAGATATGAAATGTCGAGTTTTTCATGAGGGAAAGCTAACAGATACATTTGAAATAAAAACAGGTGTGCGACAGGGATGTCTTTTGTCGCCTCTCTTATTTTTACTGGCTATAGACTCTCTACGCCTTCACAGCATGAAATAGCCAGTGGCAGCCAACATGCACTGGATCGCAAATTCCTACCCAGGAAGCTTAACGGCAGAAGTGGTTTATGCTGATGATGATGATGAGGATAGACTGGATTGTGAAAACAGTAACTGCAAAAACCAAGAATTGAATTCAATGGACCCCTACAAAACAGCTTGATGATCTGGACTTTGCTGATGATATTTCTCTTCTGTCCCATTCACAGAATCAGATGCAAGATAAATATACTTGATGCAAGATCACAGCAACTTGGTTTGAAAATCCACAAAGGAAAGACAAAGATAATGAGAATAAATCAGGCAAATAGTAATGTGGTTTCTCCTAATGGTACCCCACTACAAGATGTGGAGTCGTACACCTAACTGGTCAATAATGTAGATAAAGATGGAGGAACTGATTGAGATATTAAATTAAGAATACAAAAGGCAAAAGGAGCTTTCATAGCACTAGGGAATTTGTGGAGGTCAAAAAATTTTTTTTAAAATACTAAACTAAAAATGTTTAATTCTAATGTCAAATCAGTACTTTTGTATGGGGCAGAAACATAAAGAGCAAATAAGGCAATTACTAATAAATTACAGGCATTCATTAACTGGTCCTGCGCAAAATAGAGGGAATTAATTGGTATCATAGAATAACTAATGTAGAGCTTTGGGAGAGAACTAAACAGGCTCCAGTGGACCACGAGGTGAGGAAAAAGATGCTGGCGTTGGATAGGACACACACTGAGAAAACAGGAGAACAGCATAACTAGAATGTCTTTGCATTGGAACCCACAGGGGCATAGGAATAAAGGAAGGCTAAAAAACACATGGAGAAGAGAGGTGGAGAATGAAGTTAAAAAGATGGCGAGGACATGGGGAGAGCTCTATGTAATGGCCAAGGATAGAACGACTTGGCGTGAGTTGGTTGAGGGCATATGTATGCTCCACTGGGGGATAGAAAGGCAGAAGAAGAAGGCAGGGGGAAGAGAGGGAACAAACAGCCCGGGAGCTAAAAGTGACAGTAGACAAAGTGACTGAGTGGTGTACAGAAATGAGGGCTGTTGTCCACCCAGAAAAGGCGTCTGTTTTTGTGGTGTTCTCTAGACAATGAGATCGTCAGAGCAATAGATGGTAGAAATGTCAACAGAAAGAGCAAACTGAAGTATCTGGGAATTGTATTTGACAGGGCCTATCCTTTAAGGACCATGTGGAGAGTGTTGTGACAAGATGCCAAAAGGACTTAGTGCACTTAAGACTATGGCTGCAATTGACATAGAGCAGAGAATGCTTTTCACACTATTTAAGCACCTGATCCTGTCAGAGGTTGATTATGGCCAATGACTGCTTATGGTCTCAAAGAGTCAGATGAACAAACTAGAGCGCATTTAGAACACAGCTACTCAGGTCATTCTGGGTTGCACCAGAGACACCCCAGTGGTGTGTATTTGATACATACTTGGTTTGCCGACTGTAGCAAGTAGGCACAAGGTGCTGAAAGCGAAGCCATTTCTCAAGGTAGCTGCAGACACAGATCAGTGGCTAAAAGAGGGAGGTCATGGTTGGCTCAGGCAGAAGACACAATCAGACAGGTTTGCATCCTTAGAACATTAGGCGAGGAGAGGAGTGGGTCAAAGTGCCACCTGAACAGTCAGACTTGTGTAGAGTCATAATCACGCTGAGCCAGGAATGCAGAGACTGGCCAGCAGGTGCCACAGAGGTTGAAATTCAGCAGTTAATTCAAGATAATGTTTGCTCAGAGGATTTGATCATTTACACAGACAGTTCAGTGTCAAGAGGCAAAAGAAGTGCTTAGGGTTTGTTTCTAAGCAAAAGTTAATGGTCGACATTTGATGCAGGAGAGCCTAGCATATGATACCACAACATTCAGCTTAAGAAAAGAGGTGGAGGTGGTCACTGCAGCTTTCTGCTGGTTAGAGAACATGACACACACACACATATCGTGATTGTTACTGACTCAGAAAGCATGCTGAGGAAGGTCAGGACAGGTATGCTTCGTGCAGAGGGGCATGCTTCACTCTTATCACAGATTTGTCAAACCTCCACTGACATCTGGATATGCCCCTTCTTATCACAGATTTGTCAAACCTCCACTGAAATCTGGATATGCCCCTTCTTATCACAGATTTGTCAAACCTCCACTGACATCTGGATATGCCCCTTCTTATCACAGATTTGTCAAACCTCCACGTATCTAGCAAGAATCTGAAGAGAAGAAAAGTAAGTCAGTTTCTATTGATTAACTATTTTTTTTTAGTTTCTATTGATACATTTTTTCACTGTTCTTCTTCTTCTTCTCTTCCACCTTGTACCTCAGCGAAGTGTTAGGGGGGATGAAATGTTCGTTGATGAGCTCTGTCAAGAGCACTATTAAGACTGATGTTCAGTTCTGTAAGGCTGTTCTTTATGCCATCACTCCATATTTTATGATGTCTTCCCTCGCTCTATACCCGTAACGTTTCAGTGTGGCTCGCTGTGGTAGACAGTACCGGGGCATTCTTGTTAGGTGTCCAGACCACTTCATTTTCACTACTGAGGTGACAAAATACCAAATCACAGGGCAAGGAAGAACTCTCTCATACACTGTTGACATAGTATTGTACCACCAACAAGAACATAGACAGAATTGTAAAGCACCCCAGAGAAAATTGGGACACAAACAGCAGACTCGTGATTAACCCTGCAAAAACAACTGCAACTCGAATCTCTCTGAATAACCACAAAATACAAACAATAACGCCTATGGTACATATGAATGGTGAAAAAATAGCAAGGATTGAACTTTTAAAATACAGGGGAGTCAGTTTTGATTGTAGCCTTAGCTTTAGTTTTAGAGTTAAATGTTGAATTAAGAATCAACATCACAGCACTGTCCCCATAAACAGCTGTTGAAGGTGATGGTTATATTCATTTGTTTGATTCAAGATAGAACTTACAGTTTGTGTATATCGTCTGCCTAGGCGTTGCCTATGTAATCATATGGTGTTGTTGTGTATAACTTATTATACACATATTCACTGCCTGGGCTATGAGCAACATTCATGGTCCCGGCATAGACATGTCTTTACTTTTTCTATTTTTGCAGTTCAGCGGGGAACTAGTCGTTGTCCTAACCACATTTGTTTCCTCACCTCAGACCAGCTCAGACATGAGAGACATTTTCAATGCCAAAAGAGAGAGAGTAAACGCTGTCTGTTGTGAGGTTTTCAATTTCATCAATGCAGGAGCAACTTGGCGTTACAAAAGCCAGTACAGAGTGGGAGTTGCTAGCCTTTAAGACATAGAAGGAGATCGGAGCTCTTAATCTTATGGCTTATGCCGCCCTTATATGATTTAAATGTATGGGGTCACGTGCGATGAAAATGGGCTCTTCTTCAATCTCCCCTCCCCCCTTTCCATATTATGGCAGCCAAACAAATACCCTAACAGGACCTCAGTCCTAAGCAAAATGCTGAGTTCCTGACGGAGAACAAATTGCAGCAAAACTAGGATGGGCTCCAAATAATGGACCAATATCATCGAGGGCAAACAAATGCTCTAACAGGGTCTCAGTGATATGTTAACTGCAGACCTGTTTCTGTGACTATTGAGCACGGCGGACAGTATCCCTAGCAGCGCAGATTGGGGGCTAAACTAGATGGCTGGGATTCACAAGCAGCAGCTACCGCATCTCCTGCAACTTCCTCCAATTTATTTGCTTGTGAGTCCCAGGCATCTAGTTTAGATCCCCATCCGCGCTGTTAGCAGTGAGTTTAACCACGTTTTGCGCATGCCGAATAGTGTAAGGACAACAACGACGCTAATCTGCGTCGGAGTGCATGGTCTCCCGCCATGTCGCTATTATCGTCTGTAATGTTGCGTGTCTCGAAATTGTCAATGGTCGCTATTATTGTCTGCTAGTCATTGGCACCTTCCCATCTTTCCAGACGATAGTGTTATATTGGGCTATGAGGAAGCATGAGACTCACAGCCCATGGCGATGGCGAGTGTGACTAGCAAGACCCGCCCGTGTCAAGAAAAGTCTTCCACAATGATAGCATGGGATTTCAGGACTATTGTTGTCAACATTTGTGTTCAATTCGTTTCTTCTCAGATGCTCAGCTTTCATCCTTTCTGCAATCATTTTTTCCTTCAGTCTCATTCCCTTCCTGATATGTCCTTTCCACACAACACGGTCCATGGCATTTTGTTCCTGTATCATTCATGTTCCGCTTACACACATCTTTATAACGTAGTAGAGGTCGGCCTCGACATCTTCTTCCTGTTTTTAATTCCCCATAAAGGATATCCTTAGGGACTCTGCCATCCTCCATTCTCCAGGTGTGACCCAGCCACCTGAGCCTTCGTAGACTGAGCATGGAAAAGACGACTGTTGCAGTACCTGCTCTTTCCAGTACTTCAGTGTTTGTGATTTTGTCCTGCCACTTAATGCCAAGTATTCTTCTTAGGCATTGCATGTGAAAGCTATTACGCCATCTCTCCCGGTGCAAATAGGTTGACCAAATTTCACTGACATAAAGCACGGGTATAGAGCGAGGGAAGACATCATAAAACACAAGCCTGATAGACAAGGGTTTTTGTTTAAATTGTGAGCTTTCTGTTCTCCCAAACTCTTTTTGTCAATCTGCTCACTGTTGTTGCTGCCTTACATATCCTGATGTTGATTTCTTGAAACCCAGACAGGTAAAATGGTCTACTGTCTCCAGCTCTTCACCGTCAATTTAGACTGTAGGTCTGTCATTGACACCTTGCACCATAACATTTGTTTTATTTTTGCTGACTGTTAGTCCAAATTCACAGTATGCATCAGCAAAGGCAGATAGTAAACATTGCAGCTCCTCCTCTGAGTGTGTGGTTATTGCGGCATCATCTGCAAACAGCAGCTCTCTGATAAGTACCTTTCTTATCCTGGTTTTTGCCTTCAGCCTACGAGCATTGTAAAGGCTGCCGTCAGATCGAGAATGAATGAAAATACCACCATCCTGATCTCGAAAGGCATGTGTCAAAAGAAGTGAAAAGTTTATTCCAAAGAGGGTAGGAGCAAGTACACACCCCTGCTTCACTCCATTTTTGATTTAAAACTCTGGGGGGTCAGTTGATTGTACCTTTCATACCTGTGTGGAACGACTCAGTAATTCTCAGTAGAGTAGGTGGACATCCAATCTTCTTCAGTGCTTTGAACAGACCTTTTCGATTAACCAAATCAAATGCTTCCGAGACGGATTAAGGCCAGGGATGAAGTTCCTCTTCTCCATAGCACAAAGCCTGGGCAGTATTGTAGAGACCATATGCTGCCCATGCATAATGATCCCTCCCTCGACCTGCCTTGTTTACTCCAAAGGAAAGGTAAAAGCAGTACGTTTGGACTGAGGCAGGTTGCAAAAGCTGCTGGATTAGAAGAGCAGTGCTCTATCTGTCCACCTGTCGGAGCTTCCCTCCTAGACCAGCTACCAGACAAGGCGAAGGGCCTGGTCTGCCCTGCCATAACACAAAGTTTTCGGGTTGCATTTCCTCTTCCTAGGATAAGGCTAGTATCCTCCCCAATGCCGTTGGCACAATATGGGATGTTGGGTTAGTATATGCCGCCCAACATTCGTCGTAACAGAAGACAGGTGGTACTGTTATACGGTAGCTCAGTCATATCTGACCAAGACCTGCTAGTATCTGCTGGAGAAAAGCTTGAAACTGTCAACGGTAGCTATTATCATCTGCGGCTATCCTATGGATAACGGGCACAAAAGATGGCGGCCAAAAACAGGGCCTCAGTCACTTGTCAACTGCGCACTTCCGGCGACCTAATTTGCGGTTTTCCTGCGACTACCACCACCGCGAGTATCCCCCATGCCACAGCAGCGTGGATTAGGGCTAAACTAGATGGCTAGGACTCACAAGCAAAGCTGCAGGAGATGTGGAAGCTGCTGCTCGTGAGTCCCAGCCATCACTCGTGATACACTCGGCGGTGGCGGTAGTTGCCGGAAAGTTGCAAATTAAGTCACCGGAAGTGCGCAAGTGACACATGAGTAAGGCTCTGTTAGGATGTTTTTGCGGCCGCCATTTTTATTGCCCATTATTCGGAGGATAGCCTCGTCTGCTTCTATCGTTTGCCGTGTTGTGTGTCTTGAAAGTGTCAAGTATTCCTAGTTTTGCCGGGATGTGTTCGTCTGAGGAAGTCCGCATTTTGCATAAGACTGAGACCCTGTTGGGGTATTTGTTTGGCCGCCATAATATTGGGGGTGGGGGATCGAAGGAGAGCCTGAAAATAAACAATGAACAATGAATAATGATTTAATAGTACACTTTCAGTTAGTGTTAAAATATTAATATAATTATTATGTACATGCTTGTTCATTTTAGGAAAAGGGGGAAAACGACGAAATTATTTTTATGAATACACTAACCCATTTTTAATGTAATTCAGGAGATCCAGCTGCATTTATCTACAAATAAAAAAAATGTATTCCATTGATACCCAGTAGCGAAGGAAGCGAACACACTAACAGTTGTCGTAAAAATGTTGAAATAAAAATCGACATCGCAGCATCCTGAACACTCCCATAAGTACTCATTCCTCATTTTCAGCAGCAATCGAAGCGTCTAATTTCGATGGTATCAGTAACCGTCTGATTGTATATCTGTCGCATCATTCCCCTGAGTGTTGGGCGTCGGCCAAATGCCCTGGTAAATCCTCGAGTTGTCGTAAAATAGGAAGTAGTGTAGTCCTAATTTCTTATCAGCCTAGAAACTAGAAAGGTTGGAAGAGAAGTTGACACTAGACCTAGAAGTCTAGAAAACTAGAAAGCAACTTGAGAAGAAACAGATGACGTAGATTTATTAATAAATATGTATATAAACATTTTTTTCAAAGTTACGTGTGCAAAATAAAATAGTACTCGCGTTATTGAATTTTAGACTAGTTAATAATATTAATAATAAAACACATCTGCATTTATTTATTTCACATTCACTTTTTCACAGGTAAGGTAATAATGAGGTAACTAACTTGTACTACTACTACTAGCTAATTTTAATATATCATAACAATCGTAGTATATCTTAACTCCCTAATAGTATATTTAAATGTTATATAAAGTACTGACATTGTTCAGCACCACAACTGATCATGAAACTATAGTAGTATAGTTTATTGATATATATACGGTTCCGGTTTGTGAATTCCGAGGTGACTTATGCCGCCATTTCGTGCCTGGAAAATAATGGAATTAATGGTGTACTTACTAAAGTTGCAATTATAATTATATAGTATAGTAAGGGATGCTAGTGAAGTTATGGCACTCTTCCGATCCCAAATTATTGACTGCCAAAAACATCCCTTTGAGAGCCTCAAGAGGTTATTTAGTAAAAACATTTAGGCCATCATCGATCATCATGTTTCCACTTCTGAGGAGGAGATCGGAGCACCTATGGATCTGTCTGGAATGCTGTGATGATAATCCTTTCTAATTATTAATCACCTATTTAAGACTTTGACTCATTTCTCTTGTCTAATTCTTTTTCTAAGCTTGCACCATGTCTAATTGTGTTTCTTCTTGCACATCTAAGACTTTTCTCTTATCAGACTGTAGCCCTTAACTTAACTCTTTTCAGCACTGCATGCAAGAAATGTTTCATGTTTGCAGCTACTTTGAGGTATGACCTCACCTGCAATACCATGAGCCTGTCTGCAATAGTTAGCAACATGTTGGTATGTTGCATACAGTCATACACAGTCAGTAGTGGGGTCTCTCTTATGCAAGCAACCAGGAAATATCCAGACAGTATGCACCCCCAGAGCTCATGCATTATGCATGTCAGTCTCATAACTTCTGGTTAAAGTCTCTGCCAACTGTTGTCTGTCATGAATTAGATATATTGATAACAGTAACCCTGTAACACAAGCACTGATTGCCTAAGCATTGTCAGTTTCAAGTGTTGTAGAATAATTGTCTTTCTATTTATTTTGTAGATTACTTGTGAAGCTAGAAACTATGAAGGCAAGCCCTTATTAATGCTGAAAGTCTGACAATTTGTGTCACTATATGTTGTTGGACATTTGAAATGAATACCTTCAGCTAAGTGCTACTATGATGCAACATAGATTAGTGTTTCTGTGAGATACAAACATTAGAAGTTTGCAAAATGTCAAAATCTTCAGAAGAAGTGCTGTTGATTGTCAAAAATGTGAAAAATAAGAAGACAGATGGGACTTTATACATGATGGGAGAACGAATGGCCTGGATGTTGGAGTCCAAAAATGTTTTTAACATAAGCTATATGTATGCAGATATTAAAGGTAAGTACAATTGTGTTTAGAATAATTACGACAATGTAGTATACTTAATGTCATTTGTCTCCAATGCAGGCTTCTTCATTTATTAGTTTTTAATAAAATGTGGTTAAGACAGTTCATCTCAGAACAACATTGGCTTTATCTGAGAAGGCTCTTGAACCATCTGCAAAGACAGTATTTATTCTTCAATTTTACTGGCTGTTAAATTTAACTGTATTGAATATTAACAACCCCCCCCCCCCCCCCCCTCCCCACTTCCCCTCCAGCACTTCAAATGCCAGAACTGTGAATGAAATTATTTTCTAAGGTTTAACGGCTAGTTTGATCACCACAGCATGATTTTTTAATAGTACAGTAACAAAGATATCACTTAAGCCTTTGTGGTCAAAACTACTGAAAAAATAAGAGACCGGTTCAAGAGTCATAATTGAATAAATTGGAGTAGAAAGATATTTTGGAACTGAAATAATACAATTTTAAAATGACATTTATTATGGTACATACATTCCTATGGACCTATTAAAATTTGTATTGATAGAGTCTTTTGTGTCATATAACAAAAATTTTACTGAGAATAATTATCAGAAGAAAAAGAAACAAGAGTAAATCATAAATAAGTGAAGAATACTGTGAACCTGTAGAAAGAAAAGGTATAGACAGTGCCGTATACATTCTAAGGACTCTGAAAGAGCTGTAGAAATGAAAGCCTATCTGTACTTAGGCTTTATAGACTGAGGGAAAGAATTTGACTGTGTGAAACATGAGGAAATCATCAAATTTTTTAAACAATGGTGTAAAAGATCTCTATGTAGTAAAGAATGTTATTGGCAGCTGTAAAAATTAACAATCATTTAGGAATGTTACAGAGCTTAAAGGGAGTTGCATGACAAGGATGAATACTTTAACCTGATGTGTTTTCATTATACTGTGAATATTTAATAAGATCTGTAAGGCAAATGCAAGGAATTATACTTTAAATAATCTGTGTTGTGCTGATGATACTGCTTAAATGGTAGGAGACAGAGATAATATTATCAGAGAAAAGAATTGTATCTAAATGTTTGATATAAGTAGTGGTACTATATGTGGAAATTACAGAATTTTCGGTATCTTGGCACATGGATAACGTCGGATGGAAGATGTGTCATGGAAATAAAGAACAGAATAAGGCAGGCAAAATTTTCATTTTATAAAATTAAGAACATCTTATACAATAAATTCCTGTTATGGAAAATTGGAAAAAGAAATCTCACTCACTATCTAGAGCCAATTTTACCATGTGATTGTCAATTCTAGATGAGTAAATAAGCCAAACGATTCCTTAAGCGCCAGGAATGTTTTTTTTTTTTTACAGAATAAGGGTTACAATTTCTTGGACAGCCAGGATGAGTAAGGGCCAAGTAAGGGAAGAGGTGAGGGCCAAAAATACTTATCACAAATAACAGAAGGAGACAGCCATCATTTTTTTGCTCTTTTATAAGAAGAGGGAAACTTATTTATAATTGTAACCACTGGGAACATTTATGGAAAGAGAGATGGATAGTAAAGGACCCTTGTTCATGCCTTTCAGGCTTATTGGATATATAGGACTAGACATATTTTATAGAACAACAACATGAGATGGGTGATGTGGTCAGCATTACACTGGCCACCTTTACTTCCCAGGATTGCACCTGGTACTCACTCAAGGCTGTTTCGACCTTGAAGCTAAGGTCATTTTCAAAAAATGTTCGGCTCCACCATGGAGCAAACCCACGACCTTCTGATCCGCAGGCGAGCGTCTACGCCACGGTGACTCCCAAGAGAGATAGATTGAGGAAGATAATATGATATTCTTTTGTCATGGCTTGGAGGGATGTTAGCGCATGAACTGATTGATGCATGCTGTTGGAGACTGCATTTAGTGGAGAAGTATGATTGCTTATTCTGGTCAGCAAGACACTTAATAAGCATGATGACTTTGTTGTATCCTAAAGGCACATATGTTATTTATGAATATTTGATGTGTGGGTAAGTAGAAATAATCTGGGCAAGGAAATATTATTTTTAGTTCAGCATCAAGTATTCTAAGATATTTTTCTAGATTACAAAAGTAAAAATGGATGGTTTAGTCTATAAATATTCTAAAAATTGTATGATTTATGTGTGAATAAATAATATTAATGATTATGTAACCTACAATTGATTGTGTCCTATCAGCACAGAAAATATCACCAGATACTAAAGAGAAAGTGCAGCTGCAGATTATTCTTCATGATGGCAGTGCAAATACATTTTTATTCAATAACCCCAAAAGTAGACAGTTACAGATGCAAGATAGAGAGTCAGTAAAGGAGCTTCTGCAGCAATTGTTACCTCGGTTTAAGAGAAAAATCAGCTCAGAATTAGAGGACAAGAACAGGTAACATGCTTGTTGTGTTATTTTCTTTCAGTGCAGTCAAATTATTTTTTGTTCTCAGTATGTGGACACAAATTTTTAAAAAGTTTTCCTAACATTATTTTGTCACCTTGGATTGAACTGTTGTGCTGTTGAATGCTTAGGTGGTAAAGTTTTGACATGATAGCATAATATTGTTAATTTGTGTAGAGGATGCTTTGTTGTAATGAACAGCATAATTAGTTTGATTAAAGTATTTATTTGAAAAAATATTTTAGAACAGTTTTATTATCCCTCATTAAATGATCTATATATTGATTATGGCTCTATCTTTGTTGTTATTTGAAATACACTATGGCTCTGTCTTTTGTGTTATTTGAAATACACTTAATGTGTACAGTTACAAATATTGTTCTTTATGATCTAATAGAATTTGGACTTGAGTGATTTCACAGGTATTGGTATTTGGTTATATTTTAGGGGTTGGTAATTGCTGGTGTATAAGGTTTGGTGTCTTAATACTCCAGTTTATATTCAGGAGGAATTATAGTTCCTATGAAATTCAACATTAATTGATTCAGCTTTATAATTGATCACAGGTGAAAGATCAGAAAGATGAAGATGGGGTTGCTTCAAGCAGAGGGGCAAGCTTAACTTGGAAGACAAACATATAACCAGACTATGACCTGTACCATTCGTATTGAAACTCTACACTGGCTGCTGAAGATGGCGACAGTGTGCAAATGGAAATGCCCTGAGTGCTGTAATGTCAGTTCTTGACAACAACTCTGCTACAGGAAGGCCTAGGAATCATTCCATGCCTCAGGGCAGATCTATTTCACTAAGTTTACTTAGGGGCCAACATTTTGAAAATAGGAATTGTCATGTGACAGATGCCTGAGCCCCAGCATAGCAAGATCATGAATACAATACGACTGGTCACGTTTGTCCTAGAGCTGCCATTTGAATAGCCCTGCTTCAAGGTGTGCAGGGGATTTTTGTTTGTTGTGTTTTGTTTGCTTTTTACCTGCAATGGAATTAGGACTACTGTTAATCTTCTTGGTGCTTTTTTTCCATTATATCACATAGGATACTGCAGCAAGATCCAGAATCATTTCAGTTATACAAAGATTTGGTTGTGAGTGGTGTAGTTACCCCTGAAGATTTCTGGGCATCAAGATCTCATGTAAATATTTTGTTGTTATATTGTAGATATCATACAAGAGTGAAATATTTACATCTGTCTACCACGAGTGCAGAGCATGTATCAAATGAAAGATAGAAGAATGGGAATGGCACTATGGAACTGGTAAATGACTGCTCAGTATTTACTGCAAGAGAAATCAACACTTTAAAGTAACTATTTTGGTTGATTCCGACAACCTCTAGGACACACTGTAGTGATGTGTCATCAAATTAAATCTGTTGCAAGACTTTAAAATGTAATTTACATTATAACAAGCAACGTATTTATTTTCATTGTTGAAATGGTTGCTTCCTAAAAATGTTAGCCATTTATGTCATTTATCTTACCTGCCTCAAAACTGATAGTTTAACAGATAAGATATTGTTTTTATCTTGCTTGTTTAAATTTACAACAGGGAAACACTGCTTGACCTAGCTTTGTTGTTTATTATTGATCTAATGCAGCAGGTCCTAACCTTTTTCAAGTCACTGCGCTATTTTAAAGGGGCAGAGTGACATGCGACCTCATACATTAAAAAAGAAAGGATTTTAAATAGGGTAAATTAATTTGAAAACAGCTCCTCTCTATATTTTAAAATGATGTTAACTTACAGTATATTTATAAGCGATCAGCTGATAAGGAATCTAGCAATTCTGATAAGTCTGACACAGACAATGTTCCATTGCTGCTGTATTTAGGGTGTAAGAGAAGGAAATTGCTCCAAACAAATAGATACTAGCATTCAGTGGCTAAGCTACATTTAAATCATTGCAGCTACAGTCTGTATATAACTGTACAAAGTCAATATTGTGTGTGTAATGGTCTATTTTTCTGCTATTTTTTCTTTGAAATGTTGTTCAGCACTCTGTTGGAACTTAAAGCCCCTAAGTTCTAAACTAACCCAGAAACTTATCATAACTTTCAAATTTGTTCGGAAGTTGTACAAACTTTAAAATATTATTCTCAAATTTGCATATTCACGGCTCTTGTGGCTGCAAAACCATGGTAAGTGAAGAATATTTTTGTCAAATGTTGTAGTTGTGAAATTAACATGTGCTGAATTCTTCTTTCCTACTAACTACAACAGTAATAAGCATACACTTATTTATCATCAGATATAAAATGTACATTTATTTCTCTGTAAAAAACAAATATGTACACCTTTAAAGGGATTAGGAGTTTACATTCTCTATTGCCTTTTTGCACACCACCCCCAGCCATTTTTGTGAAGGGAAATTAATGTTTCCCAAGTCTGTCAAAATTCATGGGCCTGAAAGAGTTATCAAGCTCATAAATTTGTGGTTACGTTTTCATCAGTGCCAACATATAGGTCATTCTCAGCATTAAATGTGTTTCTTGTTTTAGTTTTCAGTTTAAAAAACTGAAATTCTGCTCTCACAGAGAGATGTCTGAATAAAGAGAAGTAACAATCACAATGCCAGCATGGTGACATATGGATATCACTGATGAATAGCACACCAGAATTGAGCCAACAGTTTCTCATCACATAGTTTCCCTCTGAGGAATCATTATACAGATCTATTGAGTTTTCCACTCATATATTGTGTTGAAGTTAGTACTTTGTTGATAAAGAATTTCATCGAAATGTTTGGTTGCATTCATGCAAACCTTTTCCATTGAGCTTTTTGGTCACATTTTATGTTGTATTAAGCACTTAAAAAAAAATAAACAGTGCTTACTATCTGTTGTGAGACGTCTTGCTGTAAAATTTGTTCTTGTTTAGATCTTATCTTTGTCAGCCTGTCTGCTGTCGTTTCGGGGTATGCAAGAAATCACCATGGATCAATTTTTTTGTTTAGTGCTGTGATGTGTAGAGGTATGCCACAGTGGTTGCATGGACCCATAGAGTTGGAGATGGCTGTAATTGCTTTTCCCTGACATTTAAAAACCAAAGTTTGAATGTGATCAGAGTTCCATGGATATTTTGCCTAGGCAATTCAGGCATGTTTGGTAATCTGGTAATCTTAGTTTCAGCTTCATAGCAAACTGGTCATCCCATCGTTGCTCCGCTCTGTGCCATTGAAAAACAAACAGAATGTTTATCACAGTCCCTTGTGGAAAGATTGACAGACTGCTGTCTCAGCATATCTAGCATATACACACGCATTAAAAGCATTCGGTAGCCATCCAAAGTGCTAACACAGACTGTCTGACATTAGAAATGCAGTTCATCGTGGATGGTAGCAGAAGTCACTAACAGATCAGCAGTTGCACACGCAATCAATTTTAATCACATAATGGCACCACCAATTTTGCGACAACCGGCATTGCGCCATTTTCTGAATCTACAAATCACACTACCACGTTGGTCACAGTCTAAAAACATTCCAAATGAAATCCACAGCTTACAGTGTCATGCCATGCACTCAACTCAGAAGCTGGGCAACAAAACTATTTCCTTTCGGTCTACAAATAGAGCAAAAATGCAACGCCACCGTCTGGCAGAAGCAAAAAATTTGCCGTGGCTCAAAACAGTGGCAGTGCCTAGCTTCCATTTTGGCCGGATATCTGATTCAGGCATGTTTGGGAATGAGCAGGCAGATAGGACTGGACCCACTTGTGGTGAACTGTAAATGTACAAGGCAGAGATTATGTCTGGCCTGTGGGGTGAGGTAACAAGTAAAATGGAAGATACCTGAATGAGGAGAGAATGCTGCAGTGGGGAGTATCTGGGCTCTGGATATCACTGAAGACTTTAGGGAGAGCCAGGACGAGTAGTTCAGTAGATGACAGTAGGTAGCATCATTATGAAGACTTGTCACTGGCTGTTGAGAACAGCGACGGAGCTAATAGTACTCCCTGATTGAAGAGTGATTAGAGCAGTAACAAAGCAGTTGCCATGTATGTTTTTGTAAATATTGTGTATTTGTTTCAGATGCTGACTTCAGCAAATAATAAAACCCAACCAGGACAAAATGTTGGAGTGTCACCTGCATTTCTGGTAAGGTTTGTTTTCTTGTGAACACATGCCACTTTTTTATTTAAAAAAAAAATTTTAATTTAAATTTCTATATAAAGAGTAGTCCGACGGAAAGGGTTATGTAGTTTCATATTTTCCAAGTACTTAACTGTCCATGGTGTTTATTCATTTATCTTGTCATCTGCAATAAATGTGTAACAGATATTTAAACTCAGATGCCTGTTTAAAACCTGTGCACTCTAATGCTAAAGTTTTGCTTCTTTCTTCTTGTTACCACTATTTCAGTTTTTTAGTGTTGATTCTTATTTTATTGGGTTTGAAATGTTTCACTCATGGATGTGAGATGTAGCATTTTTATGGCTGTATCATGGACTAGTTATCAGCAGTGTTGAGTTTGTTTATATTACTAATATTGTTATTGCTGGGCTTTGCATCTTTGCTATACTGTGGATGTAGGTGTTCAACAGAAGAGCTGATCAAACTCATCATGTCTTCAGATGTTACTGTCAATGATTTTGCTTCTTAGCTTCATTTCTGTTATCTTGGCTTGCTTTTTCCCAACATGACTTAAGACAGATCTTTGAGAATTGACTGCATTTTCACCTGCTTCCTTCATTCTTTTACAATGATGAATTCCAACTACCTTTTTTTTTTATCTTTATTTTCATTCTTGTTGGATAAATCCAAGTTAAAAGAAGAAACTTGAAGTAACACTTGGCAAGCAGTTTACCTAGAAGAAACATAATGAAAAAATATCTGTATAACGGTTCGTAGCCAGCGGGGAAACTTGAATTTAACCTTGAAATTGTGGCCCTGATCTTGAATCTTTGTTTTCACCTAGAAAAAACCATACTGACCTTGTAAAAGACTGGAATTTTGACAGCTGCAATGGAATCATAGGAAGACCTGCGATTTCTGACAGACTATTTTTGGCCATTTGGCTAGTTTTGGCAACCTTCATTTTAAACGTTACACTCATTGCTCATTTCGTGTAAAAGTTGAGCGGACAACAGATCGATCGTCTCTTCATTATTCTCGTTGTTTGATTTGTGCTGTGTGCTGAAACAGACAGTTAAGGGTGAGGAAAGGGCAAGATGTGTTGCAGCTGGTGGATACTGCAGACAGCCACTGGATGGGAGAGAGTGGTTGCCTGACTTGAGATTTTTTGGGGGGCAGGATTACAATTGGAGTAGGGCTGCCAATAATGCCCCCCCCCCCTTTCAGATATTTTTTTTTAATTTGCCATTGATTGTTCATATCTTCAGTTTTTGTCAACCACATCTTGTAATTTGACAAATTTTTTATTGGCAGCCCTGATTGGGAGACTGGGACCTGGCAAAGTAACATTAGTCGGATTTTCCAGTTCTGTTTTTGACGCGACTTATCTTTGCAATGCGTTTGGCGGTCAACTGTTAAAATTGTGACTAGTGGTTTTCTTGGAATTTTCTTTTGATATTATCCTAATTTTATTTTGATGAGTTGTTTATCTGCCTCTCTGTCTTCACACTGTCTCTCCCACTGTACCCCAGCATCTCTCTCTTTCTGCTTCAGGTACCAAGTCTATAACAAACAGGAATTCACTTTGCTCCCTCTGCCACCAAGTCTAGAAACAAAATTTGTAAAAACACTATGTCTGTGATGTATTCCAACATGTATGTGCACAAATGACGTACTGTGTGCTCCGTAAACTCGTGAATGGGGCAAAAATATCTGCCTCAGTATTGCCCTGAGACAACATTGTAAAGGACCTTGAAAACCCTTGAAATTAATTGGTAAATTTGGCTATGAACTCTTTATCATTACTACTTATTCATACCACATAGAGATCAGGTCAAGGTACTCTAAGAAGTCAGCATATTAGTTATTACTCCATCACACAAAAAAAGACCACGAGTCAATCCAGAAAGTGGTTTATCAGTCCCAGCATCAGTGGGAGACTTGAGACTATCCTTTGAGAGGTCCCTTATAGAGAACAATACATGACACATAGTACACTGCGGCTGACATCTTCTGCCAACCTAGCAATGTGGGGCAAAGCCAGGGAAACGTATGTTTGAGTACACACTGACTGCCAGAAAGCCTTAGAGCACAGCCTTTCCATTTGAAAACACAACAAAATTCTTCCTGAGTTGACTGCTTAGTGCATGTAGCAAGGCTGCAGGCAAATAAGAGAGCTAATTTAAGGGTGTACTTCTACATGGTTGGGGAAAGTGCAGCTAGCAGCGGACCCAGCAGCTGCCTCGACAAAGAGACAGACTCATAAGGCCAGTTATTGTACCTTGGTTGCTCTTCAGTAGAGGTTGATCAAGAATAAGAAGCAACACATTCACAAAATAAAGTACTGTGATTTGATTGTGCTAGTTTTAAGTAAAGAGGAGTATGCAGCTGTTTGAAAGGAAGGCACAAGAGATATTGTGTCAAACTCCATGATTGATGCATTAAAAAAGTACAGGAGCTTTACTTTCCAATGAGCTACTACAGTAGCAGAATCAGAAGATAGGTGCCCTAAGCAGTCAACCTTTGTTTTAATGTCGGCACAAGAATTCAAATCCACATCAAGGAAAAGACACCAAGGCATCATGACCCAGATAGGTCTTGCTTTCAAGAGTGACGCTATTTTAACTAGAGGATAGTGGACTAAGCCATTAGCAAAGGGAGGCCACCTTCTGATGATCTGATGCCTCCTTTTGAGCTTGTTCTTTGTGTTTTTATTATATAGTTACATTTGCTGTGTTTATAGGGTATAATGCATTGGTTAAACACATATGTACCAGATGAAGAGTGTACAAAACGGTGCTATATGTCGTATTAGTAAAGCTACGAGAAGAAAACAGCAGCTTGAGAAATTCACACAAATTTATACCACCCAGACATTCAAAATGATTAGGTTGCCATAGAAAAACCGATACCTAATAATTTGAGAAAATTACCATAATAAACAACTGGCTAAAGAACTAGATGCAAGATACAATAAAAATCTATACTGCACCATGTTAATAAAATCAAAGATAAATCACCTCATGGAACAAAGAAAGGAAACACTGAGAGTGAATTATTTCTTCTTTTTCTTTCATTTGCTTGAAGTAAATTATCTATATCTGCAATAATGTCTCTAGTATAAACTTCACCGTCTTTTGTCATTCACTCAGCTGATGTTTCTCTTGGCCAAAAGTTTTGCCTTGAAATGTTGTATTTAGGACAGTCTTGGAGGACATGATCTGTTGTCTCAGGTGCCAGTCCACATGTGCACATGGCTTATTCACCGATTTTAAAATGTAATAGTGAGTAACTTGTGACCAGATGTTCTGAAGTATTTGCCCTCCATAACAGATGAAAAAATGGAGAAAAAACTGTCACTCCAATCAGGTTTCAGTGTGCATCGTAGTGACTGTTTAAAAGAGTAGATAGATATGTGAATACATGGATGGATTTGTTATTTACATCACTGTCAAAGCATTTCGTTAAAGTAATCTTTCACAAAGCACCAGATGGTCCAGCAGAGGAATGCTTTGAAATAACTGTACTAGGAAACCGTGGTCACATTCAAAGACTAAATTTCATTGTCTTTACTAAAGACAGTGAATTTCATACTAGAGACAACATTGCAGATATAGATAATTTATTTCAAGCGAACGAAAGAAGAAAAAGAATTGTCTTCACTGATTCTCTGTGCTTTGCTGGCAGAGTAGTACTGAACTTAAAGTAACTGACTACATACCATATAATTACACACCACAACACTAGGGTAAACATGCAGGAAATCCTTGTTCATTGTAGCACTTGTCAAGGAATGACAGACTGTTAGAAATCTATACAAGAACAAACGCAAACAGCAGGTCTCACAACAGTCATGTGCCTTATAAGAACCATAAACAGACTTGGTTTGGCAAACTCTGGAGAGACCGGAAGGGAACTCTTCAGATGTATTTTAGGTCTGACTCCCAACATAAATATTTGATTACAAAGAATCCTTAAATAACACATTATGCATGTGTTGACCGCACCCAGTTTCTGAGACAATAATTTTAAGACAAATAATTGTCTTCAATTAATGTTGAGAAACCAAAAACGAAACAGTAATATCTGTAAGCAGAGCAATATGGGCCATGTAAGAGCAAGTTACAGTTGTAAATTTAAGTTGCAAGTAGTGCGTTATGTGCTAGTGAATTTAAAGTCAGTTATTTGGACAGCTGGACAAGGTGCTTCACGGCACAAAATCACAATTATGGCACTGTAACTTTCCAACACATATGAAGAGGAACTGTTTGTGTTTCAAAGACATGTTCAGAAGTTACAGAAACACAAAACTACAGCATGGAGGGCAAATGCGGATAAAACTCCCATTTATTAATAAATGATGTACAAGTGATTTGTAGGTTGAATATCTCAAATATAAACTGTACCCTTTTTTTTTTCTTCAATGATATTATGTTAGACTGCTGCAGTCTATTCATGCGTAAATATGGTACTTTTCACACCGAAAACATAGCTCACATAACAGGCACCTACATGTCACATAACAGGCACCTACATGGACCCCAACCACAGTTCACTCTGGAATGACTGTTAGACTGTCAGCCATCACCTCTTTGATTGTTCATCTTTTGCAGATATCAGACATAACTTCAAATAAACTTTATCATATAATCAAAAATGTGTTGCTTGTTTTTGAACAGGCTGACATTAAGCCACAGCAAGATGGTGCTAATGGTCTCAAGTATAATCTCACTGCTGATGTGATCCAGTCTATTTTCAAAACATATCCCATGGGTGAGTCTGTTCACTCGGCAGTCAATAATTAGCTGATTATTTATTGGCAACAAAAAGCCATGTCCTGTATTGCATGGAGGAGGCAAATCGGGAAGAAGATGAAAATGAATGAAGAAATTATTGCAGAAAGGATGAGAACTGAGTGTCTGAGAAGAAATGATTGCAGAAAGGATGAGAACTGAGTGTCTGAGAAGAAATGATTGCAGAAAGGATGAGAACTGAGTGTCTGAGAAGAAATTATTGCAGAAAGGATGAGAACTGAGTGTCTGAGAAAAAATGATTGCAGAAAGGATGAGAACTGAGTGTCTGAGAAAAAATGATCGCAGAAAGGATGAGAACTGAGTGTCTGAGAAGAAGCACACTAACTACATGTGATGTGACAACGGTTCCGAAATCCCAGGCTCTAATTATGGGAAACATTTTAGATCAGGCGCGTCTTGCTCATCGTCATGCTCCCATTTAGCACAGTATAAGACTATCACCGAGAGTTGTGAGTCCCATGCTCCCTTATAGCACAGTATAACACTATCACCGAACGTTGTGAGTCCCATGCTCCCTTATAGCACAGTATAACACTATCACTGAGCGTTGTGAGTCCCATGCTCCCTTATAGCACAGTATAACACTATCACCGAGCGTTGTGAGTCCCATGCTCCCTTATAGCACAGTATAACACTATCACCGAGGGTTGTGAGTCCCATGCTCCCTTATAGCACACTATAACACCATCACCGAGAGTTGTGAGTCCTATGCTCCCTTATAGCATTGTATAACACTATCACCGAGAGTTGTGAGTCCCATGTTCTTTTATAGCACAGTATAACACCATCACCGAGAGTTGTGAGTCCCATGCTCCCTTATAGCACAGTATAACACTATCACCAAGAGTTGTGAGTCCCATGCTCCCTTATAGCACAGTATAACACCATCACCGAGCGTTGTGAGTCCCATGATCCCTTATAGCACAGTATAACACTATCACCGAGCGTTGTGAGTCCCATGTTACCTTATAGCACAGTATAACACTATCACCGAGGGTTGTGAGTCCCATGCTCCCTTATAGCACAGTATAACACTATCACCGAGCGTTGTGAGTCCTATGTTCCCTTATAGCACAGTATAACACTATCACCGGGAGTTGTGGGTCCCATGCCTCCCTTATAGCACAGTATAACACTATCGCCTGGAAAGATGGAAAAGTGCCAACATTTTCACCATGTTGTTCAGCCTCTGGGTTGGTTTTGAGCTTCCTGAATGTGTTTCACTAGTGATGTCTGTCAGCTGCTTCTCATTCACTACTGCATATTTTCAGTTACAGGTTTGTGCACATCTGGGCAATAATTATGTTCTTTGGTTCTGTATAGATAATCAGATCACCTGGGAGTGAATTGTCGTGAATCAACTGTTGGACTTCCACCTCCGTAGCACTAGCTGGCCACTCTCTGCACTCCCGACCCAATGTGATCATAACCCTTCACAGGTCAGACTTTCCCGCTGGTACTCTGACCCACACCTCTCCTCGCCCAATGTTCTCCAGCATGCATACTTGTCTTATTGTGTCTTCTGCTTGAGCCATCCACGATTTTCCCCATTTAAGTCCCTGATCCTTCCCTACAGCCAAAACTTCATACAGAGGGTTTTCTTTGTCTGCAGCTACTCTAAGGGATGACTTAGCCTGCAGCACCTTTAGCCTATCTGTGATAATCGGCAATGCAAGGATATATCACATTCACACAATTGGAGTGTCTCTTGTACATTCTGGGATCACCCGCATAGCTTCATTCTGTATGTGCTTCAGTTTCTCTAGCTGACTCTTCGAGACAGCGAGTAACACCAATCCATAATCAGTCACTGATGTATTTAAGTGCCGGTAAAGTGTGAACAGCATTCTCTGCTCCATGTTCATTACTGCCATAATCTTTAGTGCATTAAGACCTTTTTGAACCCTTGTCACAACCCTTCTTTATGTGATCCTTGAAAGACAAACTTCTGTCAAAAGTGATTCCCAGGTACCGCAGTTTGCTGTCTCTTTTGATGTCCCTGCCATTTATTTTGAGTCTGGGAACATCAGTTCTAACAATCCTGTTATCCAAAGAACACCACAGGATGGTTGCCTTTTCTGTGTTGATTACAGCACTCATCTCTGTACACCTGTCGATCGCCTTATCTACTGTCCCCTGCAACTCTTCAACTATTGATTCTGATCTCTCACTTTCCTATATGAGAATATCATCTGCTAATCTCAATGTTCTGCCAGCTCCAGGTGTTTTCAGGTTTGCAGTCTTGCTCGTAAAAACAATGAACAGTACAGGTGAAATTGCAGATTCCTCTGGTAGTCCTGGAGCTATAATACATGGTTCAGAGGTCCATGACCCCAGGAGGAGAGCTACCCGGTGAGTATACACGTCTGCCATCCAGTTCACCAACCAAGGACAGACTCCCTTCTCCATAAACGCTTTCATAAAGATACTGTACCTGACTCTGTTGTAAGCGTCTTCTAAATTAAGTGCGGTTACTACTGTTTCCTGTCTGTTCTGAAAACTTTAGAAGATGTCAAAGGCAAAAGTGGCTGCATTTGACCATGTGTCCTTTTCTGGCCGGTAATTTCCCAATCCTCATGGAAGGAGATTTCTTTGTTCCAAAAATTCTTAAAGCTTACCTGCTTATCTTCTCCAGCAATTTACCAAAGGTGTTTTTAGGGCTTTGTTTGCTGCTGAAGATGGGGACGGAGCGCTTATAGGGATTTCCCGAGTGCTGGGATGTCGTAATTCAACATTTAACACACAAATGTCTAAAGACGGTGATGACAGCTTATCATGACTATCAGTGTCTTTTCTAGACCAGATGTCTGAAGAAGTCTATTTTTCAATAACAGTTTTTCTGTTCCTTCATTGTAGTGAAAAAGAAACATGCAGAAGCTGTACCCCATCTTGTCAGTGAAAGTGAATTTTGGACACGGTTCTTTCAGTCACATTATTTTCATAGAGATCGACATGCTTTAGCATCAAAAGACATCTTCACAGAGTGTGCCAAGATCGACGAGGAAGGTGAGTAGTATTTGTTTTGCCATGGTTGGTTTATTTGTTGATATACTAATATTTAAGCATCTGTCATTGAAAATGATTGTTTTATATCTTTTGTGTTCTTTGTAACCAAACTGTCTTTTAAAATGATAATTATAAATGTCAACATTTCCATGTGTAAAATGGAAGGTAACCATTATAACTGAAGAGTTCTCATTTGTCTGCTTGCATGTGGTTTGTTTGATGAGTGATAATTACTTGAGTCCTCACAGTTTGAAGTGTTTTTTTTTAAATTGCCATGTCTGCCAGTTGGTCAGCAGTGGTGGATAAATTGAGACACTTCGTTATCACATAATAATGTTTAAACTACAGAAAGCAACAGGAAACACACAATTCGTTATCACATAATAATGTTTAAACTACAGAAAGCAACAGGAAACACACAATTCGTTATCACATAATAATGTTTAAACTACAGAAGGCAACAGGAAACACACAGTTCGTTATCACATAATAATGTTTAAACTACAGAAAGCAACAGGAAACACACAATTCGTTATCACATAATAATGTTTAAACTACAGAAGGCAACAGGAAACACACAGTTCGTTATCACATAATAATGTTTAAACTACAGAAAGCAACAGGAAACACACAATTCGTTATCATATAATGTTTAAACTACAGGAAGCACACAATTTGATTTAGAGCTGAAAAATACTAGAAGAAAGGTAATGGCGATAGAACAGAAGAAATCCAGTCAGTTGAAAGTGGTAATTGTTTTAGGGCAACAAAGTTTTACATATGGTCATGAGAAAGCTTTTTCCCAGCATTTACGGATATTTGATAACATTTAATGAAGTCTTTCGCCAGTAGCCGCAGCATCCACATAAAGCTTGTGCTTCTCAGGTGGTTCGGGTGATGGATTTGTTTCATCTTTTTTGCAGGTTTTAGCTGGACCATTTATCCCTGTCTTTCTTGGTCTTCCCCTCACTTTGTTCCAGATGTTCTACTGTAAAAGAAATCAAATGCAGTTTGGTCTGGCTGCATTCTCACTGAACATCCGAACCATTTTGTTCTTTGTCTGTCAGTATAATTCAGACTTGGTCTTATTGCAGCTTCCTCTCTAATGCTGAGGCTAGCTGGCAGGTGAGAGCATTAGCCTTCTATGCTCTGGCTTCTATCTCTCTGTTGAGTCAGCCATCTTCTGTAAATATGCTTCTTTGATATCTTAATTCTCCTACTTGTTTGATTGTAGTATCATTACCATGAATATTCATGTTATTGTTTCCTGCCTATTTTGATTACTTCAGTTTTCACAGTATTTATTTGCATATCATAATTTGTGCAGGTTTGATGTAAGGAGTCAGTATGGTGTTCTTAATTCTGTTCTCTGTGGTGTGCAGGCTTGATGTCGGGAGTCACTATGGTGTTCTTAATTCTGTTCTCTGTGGTGTGCAGGTTTCATGTCAGGATTCAATATGGTGTTCTCAATTCTGTTCTCTGTGGTGTGCAGGTTTAATGTCAGGAGTCAGTATGGTGTTCTCAATTCTGTTCTCTGTGGTGTGCAGGTTTAATGTCAGGAGTCAGTATGGTGTTCTTAATTCTGTTCTCTGTGGTGTGCAGGTTTAATGTCAGAAGTCAGTATGGTGTTCTTAATTCTGTTCTCTGTCGTGTGCAGGTTTGATATCAGGAGTCAGTATGGTGTTCTTAATTCTGTTCTCTGTGGTGATCGTCTGTGAAAATAAAAGTTCATTGATTTCTTTAGTGTCCTGTATTTACCTCCTGTGTATTTCTATCCATGTAAGTAATGAAGAGTAAAAGTGAGAGAACACATTACTGTCTGACACCTGATAAGATTAAAACTAATCTGTCATTCCCTCTGTTCCTACTGTGCACTGTGTACCTTGATAAAGAGGCATGATCTTAAATACCATAATCTACTAGAATTTTAACCGTGGCTTGAAAGACAACTTAACACAGATATCAGAAAGAGAAAGTCGTCAATTTGTGGTCATCTAGTGAGAGGAAGGAGACTGGAATATTTTGAACCACTGGAAAGATCTGTGGTTTGAGTGGATTGTACACATCAATTGATGCCACTGGTGTTTCCTGTCTGTTGTGAAACCCTTCCTAGACTGTGGCAAAAATAGGTGCACTTTACCTGGTAACTTTCTAGCATCTCCTCGACCCCCTTTTCCAAAAATATTGTATCTCAACAAGTTTCTTCTCTACCACTTGCCAACAATATTTCATAGTAAACCATGTTGACAGCACTAGATCTAGCTATGATAGGTATAGCAGGATCAGTTTTTGTCATTGATTTACTTATTGATGCAGTGGTCTGCCTTGGATTGTTAACTAGACTGCAGCAGTGTTTTGTAAACATCAGATTGCCTTTCATATAGGTTCTTGGAACGTTGTATGTCATCATTTTTACATGTATAATTTGTTCTTTACATATGCACGTTGAATATATATATATATATATATACATTTAATTTTTATACTTTTTCAGTGATGAAGGAGGAAATAACTAGAAATGCTAATGATCCATTCATTGATCTAACACACATAAAAGATCAAGGAATAGATGATGTAAGTACAGTATTCAGTATTCTGACCTTTCAATATCTAGTAACTGTTTTTGTCAGCTCACTTGTTCCCTTGTATATAATAATACTTATATAGAATAAGAATTCACTATGAAACAAATGATTCATGACAATTCCTGCCCAAGCGATATGATTATCTATACAGACTGCTCTGTGTTGAGGGGCAGAGGAAATTCATGAGGGTTCATAGCTTAAGCGAATAGAGGTCGCTTAGTGCAACAAAGCCTGTCATATGATGTCACGTCTAGTTTGAGAATGGAGGTGGAGGCAGTCACTGCTGCATTCTGAGAATCTGCTGTACACACATGTTGTGATTGTAACTGACTTACAGAGCATGTTGAGAAAGGTGGAGACAGGCATGCTCCATGCAGACTGACAATCATCACTTCAGAGGTTCGCGGTAGTTAGCATCTATTGGAAATTCTTTCCAGGTCATGCCGGTGTGTTTGGAAATGAGCAGGCAGATAGACTGCTCGGTTCTGCACCACTTGGTGGTGAACTGATGTATGACAAGCTAGATGTTGTGAGGGCCCTCAGGGAGCGAGTGAACAGTGCGGAAGCACAAATAGATCATTACGGTCTGAGGAGAATGGCCCTGCAATCAGACAGTTACTGGTGTCATCGAAATTGGAACTCTTTGTTTGCTGCTGAAGATGAGGAAGGAGCACTTATGGGAGTGTCCCAAGTGCTGTGATGTCAATTCTCAATTCAACATCCACCCTGAAAGCCATAACTAAAATCATATCATTTTAATGAGTTTTCTTAAAATCTCTGCTTGTTTTGGTGATGCATTTATAGTCTTAGTAGCACTTAATTCATTATAAATTAGATGAATTTTTGCAGTGACTTGTAAAATTGCTGTGAAAATCTTGCTGTAACTAGAAGTCATGAAAGTGAAGTGTGACTTGCAAATGCTCTCTACCCAATTTAAATTGAGACAGGGTTAACTATTAAAATTTTCTGAGGAATATTCATTGAGTCTTTTATGATTACAGATGTGAGTGCTCTAAAAGCAGAAGTTATCTCTATACTCCTGCTTGATATGGTTTTCTAGTAAGCATTAGATGTGTCTATCTCAAACCTTACATTAGATGTGTCTATCTCAAACCTTACATCAGATGTGTCTATCTCAAACCTTACATCAGGTGTGTCTATCTCAAACCTTACATTAGATGTGTCTATCTCAAACCTTACATCAGATATGTCTATCTCAAACCTTACATCAGATGTGTCTATCTCAAACCTTACATCAGGTGTGTCTATCTCAAACCTTACATTAGATGTGTCTATCTCAAACCTTACATCAGCTGTGTCTATCTCAAACCTTACATCAGATGTGTCTATCTCAAACCTTACATCAGGTGTGTCTATCTCAAACCTTACATTAGATGTGTCTATCTCAAACCTTACATCAGGTGTGTCTATCTCAAACCTTACATTAGATGTGTCTATCTCAAACCTTACATCAGATGTGTCTATCTCAAACCTTACATCAGATGTGTCTATCTCAAACCTTACATCAGGTGTGTCTATCTCAAACCTTACATCAGATGTGTCTATCTCAAACCTTACATCAGGTGTGTCTATCTCAAACCTTACATCAGGTGTGTCTATCTCAAACCTTACATCAGATGTGTCTATCTCAAACCTTACATCAGGTGGGTCTATCTCAAACCTTACATCAGATGTGTATATCTCAAACCTTACATCAGGTGTGTCTATCTCAAACCTTACATCAGATGTGTCTATCTCAAACCTTACATCAGATGTGTCTATCTCAAACCTTACATTAGATGTGTCTATCTCAAACACACTAACCTAACACCATTAGAGCATACACATCAGTTGTTGGACTTCCGTTTTCCAACATGGCCACATGTTGGTGTGTTTATGCTTATGGGCCATGATTTCGCTGTTTATCCAATGCATTTCTGGTACCAATCTGAAATATCGACTCGAAGACAGCGCAGAAATGTGAAAATGTCGGTCCAGGATTTCAGCTTACGCAACAGAGTGCGTGCGTTAGAGCTGACATCTTCTTCAATTGCTCCACAAGTATACAAAAGTGATGTACACATTAAAAGGAGGAAGCACAGAAAACACCCATCGCGCTGCAAAAATAATCAGAAAGTAAAATGTGCTGGGGCCAGAAAATCACAAATGAAATCGGGAAGGATAGGTCGAAAGAATGTTAGAATTCTTTACTGGAATTGTGCCAGTGTCAAACAAAGAAGACCTATATTGGACAAATTAGTATATGCTGCTGACGTGGTTGCTCTGCAAGAAACACTCCTAGGTGGCAATACACTGAAACTCACGGGATTTCATACGTTTCAGAACAAGCTTCACTGGGGACAGGCTATTCTAGTCAGAGATAATCTCGAAGCCCATGAAGCTGACATGTCTAATTGGCAAGATACCAGCCTCCAGTTACAAGCTGTTACAATACCTGGGACGCGGTTTTTCATGCTGGTTAATGTCAACGCATGTAACGGTAAAGTAAGCAGAGAAAAGTGGATGTGCCTTCAAGAAATAATGCAGACAGAAGAGAATAGAGTTTTCTGTGGCGATTTTAACACTAAAAGTTACCTATGGGGCAATAGTTCAACAAACAGACAAGGAGAGGATTTGGAGGATGCCATGATGGAAATGCCTAAAGGATAGAAGAATCACAAGGATGGCCTATCAGCCAGAAGGAGAAGACAGTGTGCTTGACTTGGCTTTAGTTTCACCTGCACTTAGTCCACACTGTAGTTGGTATGTACATTTTACAGATCTGGCATATTATGCAGACTGTTGGTTCTTCAACTCTTTGTAAGCGCACTCCGACTTCAAAGGAAACGCTGCTTATTTGTTACCTTTCATAACATGCTTATTGACATCCTGAAAGATCTGAACATCAAGGAAGATTGGCTAGTAAACAGTATCTTGTCTCAGAAACTGAAATTTTGGCTGAATCAAATGCCACAGCGGATTGCAAAAATGGGTAGGAGAAGGCAGGAAATGGACAGGGACCACCAGCATAAAGATGGACACATGATATAAGTGACAGCTTGGTTAACAAATCAAGTGCATGATGCTGCAGATCTGGCCAGAGACCAAGCTGATTTCCTGGCAGGCTGTGATGAGAGCGATGTTCTGCTAAGAATCTGCTACATGATGATGTTAGGGGAATGTAGGTCTGTTATTTCCCCTTTCCCAAAATTGGGTCCTAGAACCCACACAGGGTGTTATGATAAATAGTTACATTTCCATTGAACAAATAGTTAATAGTTATTGTTTTCTATTCTTGGAATTATGCTCTTAATCTTTGACATATTGTAGGAATACAGAGGCATTGTAGATGATACGAGGACAAGCAACAACATAGCCAACCAGGCGATGATCAGGCGTTTTAATCAGCATTCAACAATGGTCCTTCGTGCCTGTAACTTAACAGAATCATCTTGTGTAGCAGAATCTTCTTGTGGGGACAGTGTTAAAGAATCACCAAAGCGATGTGAGAATGACAGAAAAACAAAGTCAAATAGCCTGTCAGAATTTAACGGAAATGTATCTGATTTACATATAAATTCAACAAATACTGTTTACCATGAAGAATCAATCAGGAAAAAGGTATGTGCCCATTTTTGTATTATCCAAATATACAAACAAAATGTTTAACTGGTGTATTCTCAGTATCTTTGTTTTTCTTTGTGTATTATAGACTTAAGGATTGTGATCATCCACTATCTATACAGTAAAAATAGTGTAGGTGACAAACGATATCTCAGCGCACACAGTTGAAACTTCAACTTGAAACTTCATGTCTTTAGATGTTGCCTGCACAAAGTTGATTTTGTGAGATCCCAGTGCCTGATCAGATTGCAGAGAGATTATCTGGCAAATGTGCGGTTGACCTCTAACTCTGCTTCCATTATGTCTAAGTGACAGGGCTCTCTGAGGTGCACTGTCTGGTGGTAGTTTTGACTCATTTCTCTGAGGTACACTGTCTGCTGGTAGTCTTGACTCATCTCTCTGAGGTACACTGTCTGGTGGTAGTCATGACTCATTTCTCTGAGGTACACTGTCTGCTGGTAGTCTTGACTCATCTCTCTGAGGACACTGTCTGCTGGTAGTCTTTACTCATTTCTCTGAGGTAAACCGTCTGGTGGTAGTCTTGACTCATTTCTCTGAGGTAAACCATCTGGTGGTAGTCTTGACTCATTTCTCTGAGGTAAACTGTCTGCTGGTAGTTTTGACTCATTTCTCTGAGGTAAACTGTCTGCTGGTAGTCTTGACTCATTTCTCTGAGGACACTGTCTGCTGGTAGTCTTGACTCATTTATCTGAGGACACTGTCTGCTGGTAGTCTTGACTCATTTCTCTGAGGTAAACCATCAGGTAGTAGTCTTGACTCATTTCTCTGAGGTAAACCGTCAGGTGGTAGTCTTGACTCATTACTCTGAGGTAAACCGTCAGGTGGTAGTCATGACTCATTTCTCTGAGGTAAACCGTCAGGTAGTAGTCTTGACTCATTTCTCTGAGGTAAACCGTCTGGTGGTAGTCTTGACTCATTTCTCTGAGGTAAACCGTCAGGTAGTAGTCTTGACTCATTTCTCTGAGGTAAACCGTCAGGTGGTAGTCTTGACTCATTACTCTGAGGTAAACCGTCAGGTGGTAGTCATGACTCATTTCTCTGAGGTAAACCGTCTGGTGGTAGTCTTGACTCATTTTTCTGAGGTAAACCGTCAGGTGGTAGTCTTGCCTCATTTCTCTGAGGTAAACTGTCTGCTGGAGTCTTGACTCATTTCTCTGAGGTAAACCGTCAGGTGGTAGTCTTGACTCATTACTCTGAGGTAAACTGTCTGCTGGTAGTCTTGACTCATTTCTCTGAGGTGAACCGTCTGGTGGTAGTCATGACTCATTTCTCTAAGGTAAACTGTCTGCTGGTAGTCTTGACTCATTTCCAAACCATTTGATCTGTTGTTTCTTGATGTGGTTTAGTAATGATTGTGTCACAGCTTCTTTGCTGATGTTGTTATTTCTAATCCTGTCACTTCTAATTACATTTAGGATTTGTCATAAATATTTCATTTCTGTTGTTTCGATTTTTCTTTTTTTCCTAAGTTGTTATTGTTCATATCTGGCAGTTGTTGGTAAAGATACTTGATTAAATAGTGCCCCTTCAGTGGCAGTTGTTGTTACAGATACTTTATTAAATAGTGCCCCTTCAGTGTCAGTTGTTGCATGTTTGCTCTGCAGAATTGGTGGCATCTGTCCAATAATTTGGTTTGCTTTATTGCATCTGTGTTCTATTTCTACTTCTATTTTTTTCTCCTTTGGATGATATTGTGCTCCCTAATTAATTGAAGTGGAAAAGAACAGAAAACTGTTTCTCTGTATAGAATTATTGTTTTGCGATAAAGACAGGAGATAGGAAGGAGTGGTACAGGTTTCACTCAGAAGAGAGCATACAGATTGTACACATTGATGTAAAGTATGTCTCCGTCTGGGTATATGGACCTCAGAAGCACGCAGAATCACCTCAGGACTACCCCAGGTTTGGACAATTTAACCTGTGCTCTTTAATTTGTTTAGAAGCAGGATTGAAGAACTTAAAGCACCTGGGATTGAAAGGATATTGATATTTTCAGATGAAGTTCTTGCCTATAGGCAGAGATGATAGGCAACAGATAGCCCAACAGCTACAGACATCTGTAGACAAAGTGACTGACTGGTGTGCAGAAATGGGTGCTGTCATTAACCCAGAAAATATGACAGTTTTGTGGTGCTCTCTGGACAATAAAATTATAAGAACTAATGTTCCAAGTCTCGCAATTAATGATAGAAACATCAAAAGAGAAAGCAAACTGAGGTCTTGAGTGTCACTTTAGATAGAAGCCTGCCTGTCCTTCAGGGATCATGTGAAGGCAGATACCGTGAAATGCCAAAAAGTATTCCAGGTTATGAGAGCAATGGACATGGAACCAAGAATGTTGTTTACAGTGTCCCAGCATTCTATTCTCTTGGTTTACCATATCAAAGAGTCAGCTGATGAAACTTTAACGCATGCAGAATGAAGCTGTGAGGGTAATTCTGGGATGCATAAGAATGAGCCCGGTAGTATTTATGTGATATGCTGGTACTGCTGACTATTACAGACATGCTCAAAGTACTGCAGGCATAGTCATATCTCAGAGTAGTTGCAGACAAGAAACAACTCCTGTTTGAAGTGTACTTGAGTACTGCATTCCCGTTTGCTGCACAAACACGTGCTCTTACTGAAAGCATGCAAAAAATGCCATTCAGTCAGCCTACTAAAACTATCATTTCCCACAGAATTTAATTCATACAAAAAACATTTCAGTAATAATTGAAAAAGCAGTGGCAAACTACTGAATGTAAATTTGCCTAGAAAAACCACACAACAGCCAGAGGGCTTTTGGGGTTGGTTCTGCAACGTCCTGTAAAGGATACACAACTAAACTTAGGGAGTAATACATCTGGGTAGTGACTATGATAATTTAAAACTTACCTGCTTCTTATGAAGTGAATCTAAGAAAAGCTGACACAAAGATAAGCATTGAGAATCACAATTTGTCAGTAACTACGTTTTCAAGAAAGTGGCCTCAGACTCCAGAGCTTGGGAGGAAATCCACCCAGCATTCCTTGGCTCTTGCATACACGGCATCTAACTGATTCTTCATGCAGCCGAGTACATAATGTTGCACAATCAACCACTTGCTTCTGAATTGCCATTGAGTCTGGTCAGATGCCATATTTTGTTCTTGTCAACACTAACAACACAGAGGAATCAATAGGCAGATTATAAGTAAACAAGATCATGTTATCCCTTCTATAATTAGTTATAATTCAGCTTTAGGAGGTTAATCTAAAAATAACACCAGTTTGCTTAGAGTCGACACATTTTCTCACAGTATTATGACAGTCATGTTATCCATATATAGGTCAGTCTCTCTGCAGGAAATGGCTAGCCACCTGCATAAAGTGTCTCACAAAGCACACATTCCATAGCCACAGGAATGATTGTGGATTTCCATAACAACTGCACATATAAACTGAACTACTTTCTGAGACATGAACATTTGACCTTCAAAGCACTTGGCAAACAGCTTGACCACTAGGCCACATTGACCTGTTTTTGAGCCACATTGATTCACTAAAGCCATTCATTGCCTGGACATTTTAAAATTACTTTTTTATAGTGGCTTGTTTTTCCCCCACTTCATTTGTTTATATTCTTTCAGAATGTAATTTTATTGTTGCTCATTTTTTATAGCAGGTTGTAATTGGTTTCTGTATTTGTTTTTATTCCATCTATGATGTAATACTTTGTTAAACTCTGCAGAAAAGAATTAAAGAGAAACTTGAGTATGAAGACCTTGATAACAGAGAACAACCAGAAGGTGTCATACTGAGGTAATGTGACATGTCATTCACTAATAATATGTCAATTTACCTAATAAAATAGAATGTACTGGATATTGAATTCAGTGGTAATTGACTTCAGTTATGCGGCTTCTTCTTCTTTTTTTTTGCGTTTGGTTTTGTATGCTCAGGTGAGACCGTCAGGGGGCCGAGCCTATGAACTCGCATGTCAGCCATTGGTCCCTCATGATTCTCCATAGCTTGCTCTGCACACTTTGCTCTTGAGGCCAGGTTTGTTTTTGAAGTTGCAGACAGAGCTGGCAGGTCTGCAGAATGTGCCCAGGTGCTCCTGTCCCATTTGACGGGCACACTGCGAGGACCGCACCGTCCTTACTGTATGTGTACGGCAGCCAAGCCAGCAGCATCCTGCTCCCAGATGAAAAACTGCTGCATGGTGCCCTCTGCCGATGGGGTCTTGCTGATGTCCACTGTTGGCCTGCTCTCTTCACAATTCCTTGCACTTTCCCTTGACACGTGTTCCAATTTCCAATAATGACAACAAATCTGCATGCCGTCTGGGCATGCTGTCTCTCCCCCATTCCATTCCCTGCAAGCCACATAGGAAAACAACCTCACTTTCTCTAATTTTCTCTTCCCTAACCACCTGGGCTACATCAGTAATTGCTTGCTGCTCTGCTCTGAAGCCTGCCGAAAGCACCCACTGTGGTCCCATACTGCATCATGACAACCTAACCAGCTCCCCTGTAGCTTGGGGGGCTGCATGGTCTCAAGGCATAGTGTTCGCCTCGAGTGCTGGAGGTTCCGGGTTTAATCCCTGGTAAGAGCTGGTATTTTTTCATATGGACTTGTACTTTAGTAATTCCCCCTGATCTCTGGGTAGTGAGATCGGACGCCCGTGTGCATTGTTGCACGCGTAAAAAATCCCTTTGCAGCTGGAAATCGAAAAGAGTAACCTAACGGCGCTGCCCGGGCAAAATTTTGAATTAAAAAGTATTTCGGGATCCTCGCCCGTGTTACAGAGCCTGTGCTGAGCTTCTCAAGACTTACTCAGACTTGAGTTAGAAGAAGCACAGAGCACTTATGGGTTACTGCCCGTGTGCCATGGTGTTGATCTGTTGTTAAACCTCAAACCCTGTTGCTTCCCCCAATGATTCATCAGTCGTGCAGTTTAGGCAGCCTCTTATAAAAATGATTATATATGTATAGGTATATATATAGTGACTCAGTGATGTTGGCTCCCACCAGGACTGCACAGCACCCGGTGACACAAAGTGCCACCATTCAGACACAAATCACCCAAGCACAAGTCCCAGAAACCCTGTTGAAAATTTTAGCTTATATTAGGGCCCCTGACAACAGCCGGGGTGGGGCTTTCAAATAAAAATAAAAAGTTAGTTTACAGGACGTTGCAGAACCAACCCAAGCTTTTAGGGGTTTTTCTTTGCGAATTTACGTCCAGTAGTTTGCCATTTCTTTCTGGACAGTCGGCTTCTCGATACCATTGTTGAAACCAACACAGGGGGCAAGGTCTGCAGCTGTGATCAAGCCTTGCACTTTGACATTACGAATCTCGTTTGCAACGCCTAAGCCACAGACGCCGACAAATAACACACACAGATATTGCATCCTATATAAGGACATTTAAAAAAAAGATATATAGACTAACTGCAGCCATAAAATTCAGGTGCTGTCATAATTCCAAATTTCAGATAATCACCAGTTAGCTATTCTGCTTTGAATTACTAACTAAAATATTTTAGAATTTATTATACTATGAGTTTCACCTGTTGCCTTTCTGATGTATAGATTAACCCACATGGATCGCTACCTTCGTGGGCCAACACCAGCCACTAACACCACATCCTCTATCAGCAATTGGGCCTCCAGCCTTGGTGATATCTCTCCTGAAGATGCTATACAGACTATGTCACAGGAAATCCTAACTTGGGGATCTTGCAGACGTAAGGTAATTATTCATGTGTGTTAGTTGTTGTTTAATATTTGCTTCAGTGATTTCTGATTGTGTTATTTTCAGTTAAGAGATCAGTTTACTTTCAGGTTGGTATTATCTCTTTTTTTTCCATTCTTCTGCAGTTTTTCTAAAACATCTCTCTTTATTCTGATTTTCTGTTTATTAGTTGTGTTAACCGTCTATTTTTGACTCTGGTCAGGCAAGAAAAGTATTCTAATATTTGATATATTTTTTTTTTAAACAACCCCAAAAAAAATAGAGCCAACTGGCAAACTTTCATTATGATATTTGAAATCTGCATTTCAAAATATATCAGAAATGATGTATTTAAATTCTGGTACCAAAAACTAGAAAATGTGTTGCCCAGTGTTACATGAGATTCTTTTCTTCTTTTATTGGCTTGAAATAGGTTGTTTATATCTGAAATGTTGTCTCTTGTATGAACTTCACTGTTTTTTGTAATTCACTCAGAGAACCATAAAGTTTGGTTTGCACCATCGTTTCTCCTGGCCAAAGGTTTTGTCTTCATATGTTGTATTTGGGACAGTCTTGGAGGACATGATCTGTAGTCTCAGGTGCCAATCCACATGTGCACATGGCTGATTCGTCGATTTAAAATTTGTTGTGCATGTGTCTACGAAGTCGAATGTGTCCTGTTCTAAGTCGTAGAATAATAACTTGCTCTGGTCTGTCCATAAAAGGTAATGGTCTTGTGCCGGTTTTGGTGGCTTTCTGATTGATTTGATTATTCTCTTCTTTTGTTGATAAAAGACTGGTACGTCAGGTTGTTCTCCATTTGCACCTTCCTTAGCTATTTTATCAGCTTTTTCGTTTCCAGGAACTCCACAGTGGGAGGGTAACCATTGCATAGTTACCTTACACTGGTTGCCTAGTTTGCAGAGTAGTGTTCCTATACCAGATATCTGTTTGGAATACCGCGGATTGTGAAATATGACCTAAATTTAACAGTTTCACTGGTGCTGTTTTAATGTCTTGAACTTGTGCATCATAGTTGTGACAGAGCTTTCCTGTTGGTATTTTGGCTGTCTATCTGATATTATTTGGATCCTCAGTACACATTTCTGCTCCTACATTTCTGCTTCCGTTTTGTGCTTTTTTATTTATATAGACATGAACTTGAAGATTATGTGAGTATTGAGCATAAAGTAGAGCAAGGGCGGCTGTTTTACATTGCACAGTGTTGTTCTTCCTTGTCAAATACTCCTTTCACTTCTGTCTGAATGTGTATTGGCAACTTATAATCCTTTTTCAAAGGGGTCCAATCTGGAATGGCATTTAAGGAGCTATCAGTTGTAGGCAGATCATTGGTTTGCCTGCAGGGTCATTGGGCTGGTGGATGAACTGCTTCTTTTTAGTGGCCCCATGGCTAGATTTTGGAATCTTTCTTTCATTGGATGTTTGGGCATGAGATTCTAATAAGAGTATCCGTAAAAAAAGGTTATTGCATGATGATTTCAGTCACATATGATAACTTCAACACAGAATCTCAGTTGTAATTTTAATAGTTATCATTGATGGCAGTACAGATATATTTGTATTTCTTTAAACTTATTCTGCTTTTTTCTTCCATATATTAGATACTGGGAGGGTCTTCAGCTTTAGCTGTATTGGGTGAACTTTCACCTGGGGGTGCTCTTATGTCTGGCACCAGTTTGCAACAACTGCACCGTAAGTATTGTTCCACTGACTCAAGTATCTATAGTTGAATGACAGTTTTTACAATTATTTTTTTTCTCTGTATCAGTGGCTCTTAACTGGTACTTGACTCTGCATGCCCTTGCCAGTGGCTCTTAACTGGTACTTGACTCTGCATGCACTTGCCAGTGGCTCTTAACTGGTACTTGACTCTGCATTCACTTGCCAGGGGCTTCCAGCCACTGCAGTCAAACAAATGTGCATGACAGAAGAGATTCAGAAACTACAAATGAGCGATATGACTGCTGGTGTGGAAGAAACACTTATCAGTTACATCATGTCTACCAAAATGTTTTTAATACTACAAATGGATGAATCAAATGCCATTGCTGAGTTGATAGTTTTAATGGTATTTGTTCCTTATGTTTACTTGCAAAGCTGTCCGCAAAGATCTTTGCAGACTGCAAAAGGAAGAGGGGGAGGGGGATGTTTTAGCTAAATTCTTTTTTGTCTCACCTAATAAAACTGCAGTTAGATTTTGTGCTTTAAAGTGTGACACTAAATTACAGTAACCATGCAATTGTCTTGTAACCTGTTGATCTTGTTGTTAGGGATATAAATAGTTCTATAGTGACATCATGATGCAGAGAAACACAGTGTTGTCATGGTGACAGTTTAAAGATGGTCGCCCCGCTTCTGACATGCACAAAAGAGAAGTAGCATTCTGATGTTTGTTTTTTTAATCAATGGAGGGGTGAAACCTACAGAAATTCATTGGCGAATGAAGATCCAGTCTAGTGATGCATACCTCTCAGTCCAGCAATTGTATGAGTCGACTAGGAAGTTTTCTGCCTTCATTCACTGATACATTTCTGTGGGAATGTTGACACATTTGATGGAACTGCTTGCAAGGTGGCAGCATAAAACTCCATTAGCCATGATTTTAAATGATGAAGATTGGACATGCAAACTGTCCAGATTCATGCACACACCAGAGTGTTTTCTTGTGAGCAGAAACTGATGTCTAGGTTTTAGTGTCTGGACAAGGAAGATATTTGTCTTTTATAAAAAGCTTTTTGGGTGAAAATAACCTCAAGGTTCCAGAAACAATGCATTAAAATATATCACTGCATCTCAAAGCTTTGCAGAATTTATTTGAACATTATTTCCAACAAGAGAAAGTATTTGATGATTTTCAGTTAGTACTGAATGTGTTTAGCATGAACAGAACAACAACAACAACAACCTACTTCAACAAAATACATGGTCCTCATAGATTTGACATCTCACAGCAAACGAATGTAATTCAAAAGCAGTATAGCAGAGTTTGGGCTGCACCTACAAAATAAACTTTAAATCTTGTCTGAGATGTTAAATTTGCTATTCTCAGCTACATATCTCTGTAAAGTTGGATTCTCCGCATATACAGCCAGCAGAACAGAAGCTGCTTAGATGCAGAACCAGACATTGGCCTGCACTTACCAGGTGAACTTGAAATAAGAAGACTGTGCAAAACAATGCGACCGCGGGTGTTTCGTGAAACTTATATTCGTAATTTTATGGACCTTTTAGCGGCTCTCCCCATACTTCAGAGTTCTTATCAAATTCAAGAAATCAAACCATTTGCTTAAGACTAGATTTTACATTGTTGTTGTTTTTTTTTTTTTTTCTCACTCAAAGTAATTATTGTTGCTTGTGAAAGCAGCTTGTTTCAGGTCAAAAACTAGTTTCTTTCTCTATCAGTATGTGTTCACTGCACCCTTAGTTCAGTTGACAATTATTTTATGAAAGGTCTTAGACATTACTAATAAAAGTGTAATTCCTCCCCAGTTTTTACAGTCAGTGAGATTGTTTTTGCATGATAATAGTGTGATAATAAGTTTAGTTTAGAAATCAGCAAAAGGAGGAGATGAATGAAGAACACAAGGTATACCAAGAACAACACAGGATAACATCAAGAGAAACTCTACAAAGCCAGAGAAAGTCTACAAAGCCAGAGAAACTCTAAAAAGGCAGAGAAAATCTACAAAGCCAGAGAAACTCTACAAAGCACAGTGTGTCTGTGGTCGAGGCCACCGAAGAGCAAGAAGCAGAATCTGTTATCTCCCCTGACTCCCAGAGTGCTAACAGGAAGTGAAGACTATGAAGAAGATAGAAATAATGTCTTTTTCCTACATCAATGAGTAAAACATTAAGCCATTTTACTTACATTTAGAGTAAAACATTGTCAAACCATTTTGCTTACATCTGTGAGTAAAACATTGTTAAGCCATCATCATCATCAAGTGCTGACATGAGCTACTCCTCATCTTGCAATCTCTAACAGTTTGTGTGGCACCCTTCTAAGACATTCCAAAAGACCATCAGGAATTTTCTTTATTTCTTTTCCTCCATCTTTCTTTCCATAAATATTTCCACTTGTCAGACAAATTAACATTTTACTCTTTAAATACCGTGACAACAAATAATTGCTTATTTCTGATATGCTTGTAATGCTTATTTCTTATATTTGCAATAAGTGTATCTGATGTGCAGTGCGGATAATCTTTCAATTAACTATTTGTAATAAGCTGTCCAGTTAAGGCCATAGATTTACGGCTGTGATTATGAATGCACTTCTCTTTTTCTGAAAAATTGAAATGTCTGATTGCAGAACAAGTGAGCCCTGTTACCAGAGAAGAAATCAAGCAGACCTACAATGCAATGTGTGAACTGCTCAGGCACTTCTGGACTTGTTTTCCTGTTTCTTCTAAAACTTTAGAGGACAAGGTAGCGCTTATTGTTTGTTACATTATGTTGACATTGCTACAGATTTTAGATTTGTCACTGCTGAACATTCTTCTTCTTCTTTCTTTTCTAGTGTTCACCAGCTGTAAACCGTGGTTGTTCATCCACTTCTGGACTTTAGTCTTGTTCCAGAACTTTAAATGTTGCATCCACATCCGTTTCAAATTGTGCTGGGAAACAAATCTGTATTGGATACATTAGTGCTGCTGACACCATTGCTATGGAAACTGTGCTGGCTGTGGAAGATGGGAGGGGGGGGGGGGGGTGCTTATAGGATTGCCCTGCATGCTGGGATGTCGGTTCTTGAATCAACTCAACTCTACATTAAATATAATCTATCTGGAATAGTGTTTCCGAAAGTGGCTGTTACCGCCCCATGAGGGGGAGGATGCAGTAGCAGCCTCAGGTGCAGTTGAGAGCCGCTGAATAAGAATAAGATATCGGTAGTGATAGATTGATTGATTAGATAGATAGATTTTGTTGTTATTGCTGATGTGTCTGATTTCAAAGTGTTGTTAATGAATGAGCTCATTGACTTGGACGTATCTGTTGTTGTACTAACAGGATGCTATTTCAGGTGACCAAAATGAGGATGACACTAGAAAGGTTTGAGATGAGTAAGCTGATACCACTCAAAGAAAAAGTCTCCCAGTACCATTATGCAATGGATGTAAGTGAAACTTGTATTTTTATTTTTTTTGGAGAGCTTGTAATTATTGTTTTAAATTATTATTATTCTTTTATCATCTCACTGGTACCAGGTTGTAACCCAGTGTATTAAATATTTCTCATATCATCATCATGTAGCAGGTCCTTTGCAAAACATCGCTCTCATCACAGTCTGCCTGTAAGAAACTCGGTCTCTTGCCAGTTCTCCCGCCTCATGCACTTTCACACTCAAGTTATATCCTGTGCCCATCTTTGTGTCGGTCGGCCCCTGCCCCTTCTTCCTGGTACTATGCCTTCTGCTATAATTTTTTCCAATCCGTTGTGACGCTTGCTATGATCATAATACTTCAGTTTTCAAGACAGGATGCTGTTTATTAGCCAATCTTCCTTGATGTTCAGATCTTTTAAGATGTCAATATTTCTCATCTTCTTTGTCCAAGATTTTCTGAGAATCTTTCTAAAGCATTTAAGCTCAAAAGCCCCTATTCTCTTTCTTAAGGACTGAGAGATAGTCCACGACTCACATCCGTATGTAGCCACAGGGAAGATGCATGCTCTCAAAATTCTAATTTTTATATTTTTATCTCCTTGCTGGTGCTTAATCATAGACTTTTAAGGCTGTTCAACCTTTGCATTGCTATGGCCATCCTCCTTTTAATTTCTGTCGAACAGTCTCTATTGTTGTTTATTATAGAGCCTAGATTTTCAAAGTTTGTGACATTTTTAATTTCTTCATCATTTATTGTTATTTTTTGGGTGACAGCCAGTTTTATCTGTAAACATTTTTTTTTTCTTTAAATTCAAGAACAAATTTTGATCTTCACTGTGCTTTTGGACAGACAATATTAAATTTTCTATTTCCTTTACGCTGTTCGAAAGGAGGACTGTGTCATCTGCATAGCGGAGTTCCGAAATAGGGTTGCCACAAATTTTGAGCGGATCATAACTGTCACAAGTCTGGTCATTTTTTACATTTCTCATTATATTTTCTGCGTATATATTATTGAATAGGTATGGTGAGAGAATGCACCCCTGCCTCACCCCCTTTTGCACCTCGAACCAATCAGATGTTTCACCAGCTGCTCTGATGGCTGCTTGTTGTTCATGATAAAGATTTTCAATTAAATGCACTAAATGCGCTGGAAACCCCATACTTTTCATAATAGTCCATAGTTTGTGGTGTTGGACACAATCAAATGCCTTGCTATAATCAATAAAACAAGCATGAAGATCTATATTGTATTCTCTGCATTTTTCAAAAATTATTCTCATATTAAAATGTGATCCCTAGTTCTTCTACCCTGTCTGTGCTTCATCTAGCTCATAATTTCCTTGAAATTCTTTTCATGATAATTCGTAAGAGGATTCTGCTACCATGACTTATTAATGCGATGGTACGGTAGTTGGAGCAGTTTCAGATTTCCTTTCTTTGAGAGAGGAATATAGATTGTTCTTTTCCATGCTTTAGGCAAAATGCCATTGTTCCAGATCTTCGAGCACAGTGCATGGTAGATTCGGACACTGGCCTCTCCTCCTGCTTGAATTAGTTCTGCTGGTATTTCGTCGCAACCTGGGGACTTTCCTTTCTTCAGGCTGTGTTGTTGATCGTATATATAGTAGCGGTCATTTACGCCACTGCCAGCTTGCTAGGCCCGTCAAATGACAGGGCAGGGAAAAAGTTAACCTGATTTTTGCCAGTCTCCTTCCAGGAAAGCCATTGCCCTGTTAGTCTGAAACCTCGCAGCCTCCGTTTGCCAGTGTGCAATATTTTAAATTCCTTATTTTTTTCCAACTAATTTACATGCCTTAGTCAAATAAGAAACTGAGATAGCTGGCACGTAAACAGCGCCCCTGGATAAACATATACAGCTTAAAAGTAGCTCTTGAAGTAGATTAGGCTGAGTATCTTCTTGAGAAGGAAAGAGGCATTTAGAGATCTAGATACAATAAGCTTTGCTTATACTTCATTCACTCACACCTAGCAATGTGTATTGTATCCATTCACTGACACCTAGTAATGTGTATTGTATCCATTCACTCACACCTAGCAATGTGTATTGTATCCATTCACTCACACCTAGTAATGTGTATTGTATCCATTCACTCACACCTAGCAATGTGTAATGTATCCATTCACTGACACCTAGCAATGTGTATTGTATCCATTCACTGACACCTAGCAATGTGTATTGTATCCATTCACTCACACCTAGTAATGTGTATTGTGTCCATTCACTGACACCTAGCAATGTCTATTGTATCCATTCACTGACACCTAGTAATGTGTATTGTATCCATTCACTCACACCTAGCAATGTGTAATGTATCCATTCACTGACACCTAGCAATGTGTATTGTATCCATTCACTGACACCTAGCAATGTGTATTGTGTCCATTCACTCACACCTAGCAATGTCTATTGTACCCATTCACTCACACCTAGCAATGTGTATTGTATCCATTCACTCACACCTAGTAATGTGTATTGTGTCCATTCACTGACACCTAGCAATGTGTATTGTATCCATTCACTGACACCTAGCAATGTGTATTGTATCCATTCACTGACACCTAGCAATGTCTATTGTATCCATTCACTCACACCTAGCAATGTGTATTGTATCCATTCACTCACACCTAGCAATGTGTATTGTATCCATTCACTGACACCTAGCAATGTGTATTGTGTCCATTCACTCACACCTAGTAATGTGTATTGTATCCATTCACTGACACCTAGCAATGTGTATTGTATCCATTCACTGACACCTAGCAATGTGTATTGTATCCATTCAATGACTCCTAGCAATGTGTATTGTATCCATTCACTGACACCTAGCAATGTGTATTGTATCCATTCACTCACACCTAGTAATGTGTATTGTATCCATTCACTGACACCTAGCAATGTCTGTTGTATCCATTCACTCACACCTAGCAATGTGTATTGTATCCATTCACTCACACCTAGCAATGTCTATTGTATCCATTCACTCACACCTAGCAATGTCTGTTGTATCCATTCACTGACACCTAGCAATGTGTATTGTATCCATTCACTCACACCTAGCAATGTCTGTTGTATCCATTCACTGACACCTAGCAATGTGTATTGTATCCATTCACTCACACCTAGCAATGTGTATTGTATCCATTCACTGACACCTAGCAATGTGTATTGTATCCATTCACTCACACCTAGCAATGTCTATTGTATCCATTCACTCACACCTAGCAATGTGTATTGTATCCATTCACTCACACCTAGTAATGTGTATTGTATCCATTCACTCACACCTAGCAATGTCTGTTGTATCCATTCACTGACACCTAGCAATGTGTATTGTATCCATTCACTCACACCTAGCAATGTCTGTTGTATCCATTCACTCACACCTAGCAATGTGTATTGTATCCATTCACTCACACCTAGCAATGTGTATTGTATCCATTCACTGACACCTAGCAATGTCTGTTGTATCCATTCACTGACACCTAGCAATGTGTATTGTATCCATTCACTCACACCTAGCAATGTCTGTTGTATCCATTCACTGACACCTAGCAATGTGTATTGTATCCATTCACTCACACCTAGCAATGTCTGTTGTATCCATTCACTGACACCTAGCAATGTGTATTGTATCCATTCACTCACACCTAGCAATGTGTATTGTATCCATTCACTCACACCTAGCAATGTGTATTGTATCCATTCACTGACACCTAGCAATGTGTATTGTATCCATTCACTCACACCTAGCAATGTCTGTTGTATCCATTCACTCACACCTAGCAATGTGTATTGTATCCATTTACTCACACCTAGCAATGTCTATTGTATCCATTCACTCACACCTAGCAATGTCTGTTGTATCCATTCACTCACACCTAGCAATGTCTGTTGTATCCATTCACTCACACCTAGCAATGTGTATTGTATCCATTTACTCACACCTAGCAATGTCGATTGTATCCATTCACTCACACCTAGCAATGTCTATTGTATCCATTCACTCACACCTAGCAATGTCTATTGTATCCATTCACTCACACCTAGCAATGTGTATTGTATCCATTCACTGACACCTAACAATGTCTATTGTATCCATTCACTGACACCTAGCAATGTCTATTGTATCTATTCACTCACACCTAGCAATGTCTATTGTATCCATTCACTCACACCTAGCAATGTCTATTGAATCATTTCACTCACACCTAGCAATGTCTATTGTATCCATTCACTGACACCTAGCAATGTGTATTGTATCCATTCACTCACACCTAGCAATGTCTATTGTATCCATTCACTGACACCTAGCAATGTCTATTGTATCCATTCACTGACACCTAGCAATGTGTATTGTATCCATTTACTCACACCTAGCAATGTCTATTGTATCCATTCACTCACACCTAGCAATGTGTATTGTATCCATTCACTGACACCTAGCAATGTGTATTGTATCCATTCACTGACACCTAGCAATGTCTATTGTATCCATTCACTGACACCTAGCAATGTCTATTGTATCCATTCACTCACACCTAGCAATGTCTATTGTATCCATTCACTCACACCTAGCAATGTCTATTGTATCCATTCACTCACACCTAGCAATGTCTATTGTATCCATTCACTCACACCTAGCAATGTGTATTGTATCCATTCACTGACACCTAGCAATGTGTACTGTATCCATTCACTGACACCTAGCAATGTCTATTGTATCCATTCACTGACACCTAGCAATGTCTATTGTATCCATTCACTGACACCTAGCAATGTGTATTGTATCCATTCACTCACACCTAGCAATGTCTATTGTATCCATTCACTGACACCTAGCAATGTCTATTGTATCCATTCACTCACACCTAGCAATGTCTATTGTATCCATTCACTCACACCTAGCAATGTCTATTGTATCCATTCACTCACACCTAGCAATGTGTATTGTATCCATTCACTGACACCTAACAATGTCTATTGTATCCATTCACTGACACCTAGCAATGTCTATTGTATCTATTCACTCACACCTAGCAATGTCTATTGTATCCATTCACTCACACCTAGCAATGTCTATTGAATCATTTCACTCACACCTAGCAATGTCTATTGTATCCATTCACTGACACCTAGCAATGTGTATTGTGTCCATTCACTCACACCTAGCAATGTCTATTGTATCCATTCACTGACACCTAGCAATGTCTATTGTATCCATTCACTGACACCTAGCAATGTGTATTGTATCCATTTACTCACACCTAGCAATGTCTATTGTATCCATTCACTCACACCTAGCAATGTGTATTGTATCCATTCACTGACACCTAGCAATGTGTATTGTATCCATTCACTGACACCTAGCAATGTCTATTGTATCCATTCACTGACACCTAGCAATGTCTATTGTATCCATTCACTCACACCTAGCAATGTCTATTGTATCCATTCACTCACACCTAGCAATGTCTATTGTATCCATTCACTCACACCTAGCAATGTCTATTGTATCCATTCACTCACACCTAGCAATGTGTATTGTATCCATTCACTGACACCTAGCAATGTGTACTGTATCCATTCACTGACACCTAGCAATGTCTATTGTATCCATTCACTGACACCTAGCAATGTCTATTGTATCCATTCACTGACACCTAGCAATGTGTATTGTATCCATTCACTCACACCTAGCAATGTCTATTGTATCCATTCACTGACACCTAGCAATGTCTATTGTATCCATTCACTCACACCTAGCAATGTCTGTTGTATCCATTTACTCACACCTAGCAATGTCTATTGTATCCATTCACTGACACCTAGCAATGTGTATTGTATCCATTTACTCACACCTAGCAATGTGTATTGTATCCATTCACTGACACCTAGCAATGTCTATTGTATCCATTCACTGACACCTAGCAATGTCTATTGTATCCATTCACTGACACCTAGCAATGTCTATTGTATCCATTCACTCACACCTAGCAATGTCTGTTGTATCCATTTACTCACACCTAGCAATGTCTATTGTATCCATTCACTGACACCTAGCAATGTGTATTGTATCCATTTACTCACACCTAGCAATGTGTATTGTATCCATTCACTGACACCTAGCAATGTCTATTGTATCCATTCACTGACACCTAGCAATGTCTATTGTATCCATTCACTGACACCTAGCAATGTCTATTGTATCCATTCACTGACACCTAGCAATGTGTATTGTATCCATTTACTCACACCTAGCAATGTGTATTGTATCCATTCACTCACACCTAGCAATGTCTATTGTATCTATTCACTCACACCTAGCAATGTGTATTGTATCCATTCACTGACACCTAGCAATGTGTATTGTATCCATTCACTCACACCTAGCAATGTGTATTGTATCCATTCACTGACACCTAGCAATGTCTATTGTATCCATTTACTCACACCTAGCAATGTCTGTTGTAACATTAAAAAACAGAAATCTATCCAGAAAGTGAATCAAACCATTTGTAGTGATAATTAAAAGATGATGATATTAATCACGTGCTAACCCTTTCACCCTGTACAAATCTGTTTTAAAAAAAAAAGACATTTTTCAAAATTTTATTTACAAAAAATGCATCTTTAAAATTCTGTGAATTTTATCCGTAAGAAACGGAATGCCTACAGAACCACCTAAATCAAATTAGTAACAAATATTTGAAAATAAACACTACGACAAACATTGGTGACAGGAAGACAGAAAGACAATTTAGAAATAAAATTAAAAAAAAAAACACCTGACAGAGGAATTTAATCCAATAAGAAAAACTGGACAGAGAAATTAGCTCAAGACAGAGCTAATCAAGTATGGGTCAACTATTAAAGTAAACTATCTCCCCTGTTGACACACAAGCAGATACCTCGAGTACTAGAGTGAATCTTATCAAAACTATGAAAACCAACACTATGCTATCAATGAAACGTGGACACTTACATCCTCCAACGAACATAACAGTGACAACAGAGATAAAATACCCTAGAAGAGCTGCAGGAGTTCCAAGAAAGACAGAATACGAATCAAAAAAAAAAATAAAGCTAGTCTTACAGGTCAAGACAAACAAATGAGTGAACCTTATAAGTGCCATCGTTCTATTTGCCAATTTTTACTACGTTACAACGGGTAAAGAGCGAGTGAAAACCTCGGAAAATATGAGTGATGGCATTAAGCAGCCTTACAGAAATGAACATCAAGTGCTCTTGACAAGCTCTAATCAAGACACTTCGAAGAGGTACAAAGAGAAGAAAAGTAATTTTGAAGTCTTGATCAGTTTTATCTCCCCTTAAAACCTATTGAGCAGACAAGCAAGCCTACTACTTGGCTTTTGGTGATCCTTGAAATCTTGAAAACTCCTTGAACAGTAGCTTGTCCTTTCAAGGCCCTAAAAAGATCTGGAAAGGTTTAAATAGACACCAAAGTCTATGAAATTTGAAGGCACTGACCTTTCAAATACAAATGAATGTTGAATTAAAAATTGACATCATAGAGTTCAATGACGTCTCACCTTTCCGTTGAGCGTCGGCCAGGTCCCCTGTTAACTCCCCACAGCACCTTTCTTTTCAGACCGTAATGATATGTTTGCGCTTCTGCACCATTTGTTTGCTCCCAGAGGGCCTTCACCACATCTAGCTTGTCATACATCAGTTCACAACATCTAGCTTGTCATACATCAGTTCACAACATCTAGCTTGTCATACATCAGTTCACAACATCTAGCTTGTCATACATCAGTTCACAACATCTAGCTTGTCATACATCAGTTCACAACATCTAGCTTGTCATACATCAGTTCACAACATCTAGCTTGTCATTCACATCAGTTCACAACATCTAGCTTGTCTAACTACCCGGGATCAGTTTGCACAACATCTTCACTTGAGCGGGAATTGTCATAAATCATTTGTTGAAATTCTGATTCTTCAGCGCTAGCTTACAAATACAAATGAAACAAAAAAACAGAGAAAAGACTGTTCATAAAACCTTTATGTTAGACAGTCATTGTCACTACATTAAAGAACAAAGACCGGCTCTGTAGTGAAGCAACTCCCCACCTCTTCCCAACCATAGTGCAAATGCTTGTGTATGAGCACACATTTGAACAAAAGTGAAAGACATTTGTTGGATGCAGGAGAAATTGTGCTGCACTTGGGGATAGGATGGAGAATTGTTCACCAGGAAGCTAGTTGATTTTGTTTTTCCTTCTTGTTTGATGTCCACGAACGGACAGATTATAATCAGTATAGTTTTTCTGCCTGTATGTCTCTCTGCTTCTCTTCCCCTTCTCTGTCCCTCTCTATCTCTCTTTTTTTTTTTATCTGTCACTTTCTTTTCCTCTCTCTCTTTCTTCCTCTCTTGCTTTCTGTCTGTCTGTCACTACATCTTTGTATCTTTATGTGTCTGTATTTCTCTGTCAGTGGTCCTCTCTGTATCTCTGTTTACCTTTTCTCGCTCCCCTTTCCTCTATCTCTTATCTCTTTTTGCCCCTCTCTCCCCCATCCTGTGTGTCTCTCTACCTCACTTCCTCTCTGTATCTGTTTCTCCTTCTCTCACTTCCTCTCTATATTTCTGTTTGCCTTCTCTCCTTTTCTTTATTTTTTCAGTGTGTCTTTGTCTCTCTTTGTATATCTCTCTGCCCCCTTCCCCTCCCTCTCTGTATCTCTCTTTGTCTGTTTGCTTCTCCCAACCTCTCTGTATTTCTGTGTATGTTTGCCTCTCTTGTTCCTTTCATTTGTATCTATTTCTTTTAATGTCTCTCTACCTTCCTCTCTACCTCTCTGTAAATGTTTGCCTTTCCCTTTGTCCAATTTTCTCCCTCTCTGTACCTTAATGTGTCTGATTACCTTTCTCTCCCTTCCTCTTTAAATTATTTTTTTTGGGGGGGGGGGGGGTGGGGGTGTGTCTCTTTCTTACTCATTCTCTGGGTCTCTCTGAGACTATCTCTTGCTCTCTCTGAGACTATCTCTTGCTCTCTCTGAGACTATCTCTTGCTCTCTCTGAGACTATCTCTTGCTCTCTCTGAGACTATCTCTTGCTCTCTCTGAGACTATCTCTTGCTCTCTCTGAGACTATCTCTGGCTCTCTCTGAGACTATCTCTTGCTCTCTCTGACTATCTCTTGCTCTCTCTGAGACTATCTCTTGCTCTCTCTGAGACTATCTCTTGCTCTCTCTGAGACTATCTCTGGCTCTCTCTGAGACTATCTCTGGCTCTCTCTGACTATCTCTTGCTCTCTCTGACTATCTCTTGCTCTCTCTGAGACTATCTCTTGCTCTCTCTGAGACTATCTCTTGCTCTCTCTATACCTGCCTGTCTTTCTGCTTTTCTCTCGCCTCCTCTTTGTATGTCTCTATGTCAGCTTACATGTCTCTCCATTTCTCTGTGTATCTCTCTAGGTCTGTTTGCCCCCCCCCCTCTCTCCCCTGCCCTCTGTGTTGCTCTCTGTTTGCCTCTCTCTCCTCTGTCCCCCCTTCTCTGTCTCTCGTTCTTTCCCTTCCCTCCCTCTCTAAACCACCTTCTGTCTATCCCCCTCTCACTATCTCCATTATTTCCCCCCCCCCCCCTTTTTTTTGCTCTCACAAAGAATGAAAGTAAGCATTTTTGAATCACTAGATAAGTTTCATGACAATGACTGTGGACACAGTTGCATGATTGTGACATATCAGAGATTGAAGTCAGCTGGTGGCCATTTGGCAGCAAACTGTTTTACATTGATTTCTGTAAAGGTTTGGGCAGCAAACAGTTCTGAAAGCAATGGCAAACTGTTGGGGTTTGTTTGTGACATTTAGTAAAGGATAGGCAGCTAGATCTGTTATGTATTTTTAGAATTTAGATAAACATTTTTTCCTGAAAACACTAGTCTTGATCTGTATTTCTTTATTTTACAGCTAACAGGCCATTTAGAAGAAATGCTAAGAGCTGCGTACAACAAGTTCGACACCTGGCAAGCAAAGAAACATGCCAGAAAAACATGACCTTAACCAGCTGTTCATACTTTCATGGTTTTGTTTTTACAGATTAATAAATAAATATATATACACACACACAGACACACCAAAGCTCTGACTGTTTCTGACATGTATATCATTGATTGCCTGTTATATTGGCTTGTTTGTCATTGTGACTGCACAGGCTGGCACCCTTCTTAGTTTGTCATTTAGCAGTTTAGCAGAAATAATTCAGACATAGTTCTTTTACACCACAAAATCGCAGCTATAGAATACTGTTGAAATAGAGGTTTACTATAATTGACCCCACTCTATACTATTTGATAAGCTTATAAATATAATTGGTCAGATACTTGAAACCACCTTCTTTAAAACTAAGGGCTGAGACCCTTTGCAGGTGAGTACTGGACTGCACCAGTAGAGCTGAAATAAACCAAGTGGCTGGATCCCCAACATGCCAGATTGTAGGATCTAAGGAATCTTTGCTTGAGTGGTCAGATTGTAGGATCTAAGGAATCTTTGCTTGAGTGGTCAGATTGTAGGATCTAAGGAATCTTTGCTTGAGTGGCCAGATTATAGGATCTAAGAAATCTTTGCTTGAGTGGCCAGATTGTAGGATCTAAGGAATCTTTGCTTGAGTGGTCTGATTCTCTTCTGTCCATGGGTCATGTATCTAACCCAAATATCTAGGATTACACTGACCAGGAACAAAGCTGTTTTAAAGTAACAAACATCCTCATGTTGCAAATTGTCAACACAAACAATTGGTGACAGGCTTTATAAACTTGAATATGTTCCTCAGACACCACAGAATGATATAGATGGGCACTTTCTGTTGACTGATTGTGGCATGACCTAATGTGGTAGGCTTAATGATCTGGAATGTGTCTTTTGTGAATCTTCCTTTAAATTCCTCTTGACATTTATCAGCTTTACACTCCAGCAGAAAGTTCTGGTTTTTCATCCACTTCTGGACCTTGACCTTGTTCCAGAACTTGATCTTTGTGTGCACATCCATTTTACAAATCTGACTGATTTTTCATGCGTACTATTGGTTCCTAGCCTTTCTGGCAGATGCACTCTGACTTCAAAGGAAGTACACCTACAAAGTCAACTTTTATGACATGCTGTTCTGGGGGAGGGGCAGTAGATCAGTTCTTTTTCTTCCAAAATATGGGGCCCCTGAACCTACCTTCAGATTCAAACTGTGCTCCCGTATGATTTATTGAGAACCCCAGCATTGTTAATGTTTGAAAAAGAACTTCTCTGACACATTTGAACTTGTGTCCTTGCAACTACTTCTACATTACTATAATGCAATCCCCCTTTAATTTCCACATCTGCTGGAAATCCAAGGCTGTTTAAACTAGGATTCAAACACATGGCCATGGGGGTGTAATATGACCCTTGCTTTGTATAACCGCATACTGCTGTAGCAGCTAACCGCATGCTGCTGTAGCAGCTAGTTGCTTGCTTTGTATAGCTGCCGTGATGTAGCAGCTAGACACTTGCTTTGTATAGCTGCCGTGATGTAGCAGCTAGACCCTTGCTTTGTATAGCTGCCGTGATGTAGCAGCTAGACGCTTGCTTTGTATAGCTGCCGTTATGTAGCAGCTAGACGCTTGCTTTGTATAGCTGCCATGATGTAGCAGCTAGACCCTTGCTTTGTATAGCTGCCGTGATGTAGCAGCTAGACCCTTGCTTTGTATAGCTGCCGTGATGTAGCAGCTAGACGCTTGCTTTGTATAGCTGCCGTGATGTAGCAGCTAGACGCTTGCTTGCAGATTCAAAGGTTGTGGGTTCAGGTCCTGATAGAGCCAGACTTTTTTCACAAGTAACCTTGGCTCCTCGGTCACCCAGCCTTGGCTCCTCGGTCACCCAGCCTTGACTCCTCGGTCACCCAGCCTTTAAATTTGAACCAGGTAAAGTCCTGGGAAGTAAAAGTGGTCAGCGTGATGATGACTACTCAGCCATAGAGTGCTGGCTGGTCTATAAAATATAGGTCTAGCCCTATATGCCCAGTGAAGGGCATGGAAAATGATCCTTTACTTGTTTATATTGCTTTTCTAATTTCCCAGCATGAGGATAATGAGGTGTATATATAAGTTGGCATTCAGGCCTACTGTGGCATCTCATTAACCAGCATGAGTATTGTTTCAGTGTATTCAATGTCTATCATGTTGGTGCTGTGGCATCAGTTTAGTTGGGTAAACACATTGGGTAATATGATAGATAGCTTTACTTAAATAGGTTCAGTGGACTCAGTTTGTATACTGTCAAACATGTTGGAATCAGTTGATGTGAGTAGTTACGAGCATTTGATGTCATTGTTACATCTGCAAAGGTTTAATATGGTTTTTTTTAGTCTCAAAAACAACACAGTGAAAGTTGTTACTAAGGTCAGACTATTGGACACAGTGAAAGTTGTTACTAAGGTCAGACTATTGGACACAGTGAAAGTTGTTACTAAGGTCAGACTATTGGACACAGTGAAAGTTGTTACTAAGGTCAGACTATTGGACACAGTGAAAGTTGTCACAAAGGTCAGACTTTTGGTAGCTAATGCTAACAAAGATGAAATAATGAACCTGCTTGTGTGGACAGACTGCAAGCACAGTTGACTACAGAGATATCTTATCTTGTTGAAACTGTCAAACATCAGCTCAGTGAGTGTCCAGCTCTTACTGATATCAACAACAAATTCTTCTACAAAAGTTAGATAACAAGAACACTATAATGTAGGTAGGTCTTGTTAGTCACTCTCACCACTGCTGTGAGTCTCAAGCCCTCTCAAAGCACAACATAACTCTCATCTGGAATGGTGCCAACAAAGTGATCAGTCTACTGGCATTCACAAACTTAGATGTTAGGACTTTGAATAAAAACGACACTTCATGAGAATTGTTTGACCCTGTAGTCTTTTGTCTTTAATTATTTGTATATTTTGTAACCTAGATTATCAGGACATTTGTTTTGCATGCTTTGAAGGCTCGTGTCTTTTAATATCAAGAAGATATGACAGTGGTTATAACAAAGAAGACACAAACTCTAGAATGTGAAATTACATTAGAAGGCAAAGTTCTTAAGCGGGCCAACAAGTTCAAATCTTTGAGGACAGTTATCTGAGGGAAGATGTGCAACAGAGATTAAGAACAGACTAGGTCAGGGGACAAAGGCAGTTCAAAATATTTAAAATATTTTATGCAGGAGATCTTTCTCCTTACACATAAGAAAAGTTCTGAAATGTTAAACAGGACCAGTGCTGCTATATGGCTATGAATTTTGGAGTGTCAATGAACTATAATTAAAAGAATTTAGACGTCATAGAGATGTGGTTTCTAAGACACGTGCTACCCAGCCATGGACAGCTAGAGTGACTAACAACCATTAGCTGGAAATGCGTATTTAAATTTGCAAATTATGTTCTTCTTCTTCTTCTCCTCTTCACCATTTACCTCATCGAAGTCTTGGGGGGAGAGTGCCTTGTACAAGTTGGTGTTCATTTCTGTTAGGTTACTCTTGATGATGTCGCTCCAGGTTACTCTTGATGATGTCGCTCCATGTCTTCCGTGGTCTTCCTCTTGCACAGTGTTTATTATTTTTCTTTAGCATGGATCTCTGTGGCAGTTGCTACCAGGTCATTCTCGTCAGGTGGCCAAACCATCTCATTAGTTGTTCTTTAATAAATTAAATGACTAGTTTCAATCTTAGTCTTCTAATTTCTGTATTCTTGATTTTATCTCTTCTCGTCAGACCGGCAGCTTTCCTAAGATATCTGGTCTCTGTTGTTACGACCTTCCGCTCGTTAGTTGTAGTAAGGGTTCATGTTTGGGGCAGGAAGCAAAATATTGGCCCAAAAAAACGTTTTTATGAGATTTGCTTTTGTTGACAGGTTTCTTTCTATGCGTCAGAAGTGGTATTCATTGTCCCATAACCTGATTGGCTTTTGCACATCATAAATTGATTTCTCTAAACCAGTGACAACAAACAAAGAAGGGGGAAGCATTTTTAAGGAGATTTATAGCCCAAAATGATAGGGAGCTTAGAAATTCAGTTAAAGATAATCTAATACAATAAATGATAATTATTTAAGTATATCATTAGGGTGGAGGATATAAAACAAATGTTGAATTAAGAATCAACATCACAGCACTCAGGACACCCCCATAAGTGCTCCATCCCCATCTCTAGCAGCAGGTAAAGAGTGAAAATTCCGATAGTACCAGTAACTGTCTGATTGTATATCCGTCTCCCCTTTCCCCTCAGTGTCGAGTGTCGGCATGATCTCCTTGTAGCTCCTCACAGTGCCATTCTCCTCAGACCGTAATGGTCTATCTGTTCCTCGGCACTGTTCACTCGCTCCCAAAGGGCCGTCACAACATCCAGCTTGTCATACATCAGTTCACCACGAAGTGATGCAGAACTGGCCAGTCTGTCTGCCTGCTCATTTCTCAACACACTGTCATCACCTGGAGAAAATATCCAAAAGATCTACCTGGGACCTCTGAAGTGATGCTTGCCACTCTGCACGGAGCATACCTGTCTCCACCTTTCTCAGCATGCTCTGTGAGTCAGTTACAATGACGACATATGTGTACAGCTGATTCTCAAGCCAGCGGAAGGCAGCAGTGACTGCCTCCACCTCCACCTCCATTCTCAAACTAGACATTAAATATGCCAGGCTTTGTTGCACCAAGTGACGTCCATTCGCTTTTGCTATGAACCCCTATGCACTTCGTCTGCCCCTCAACACAGAGCCATCTGATCACATCACCTAGGCGGGGATTGTCATGAATCATTTGTTGAACTTCTGGTTCTGCAGCGCCAGCTGACCAGTCCCGGCACTCAAAAAGATTAGAACCCTACATAAATCTGAAACATGATCGGACACTTTGACCCACTCCTCTCCTCGCCTAAATTTATCAAGCCTGCTCATATGTGCAATTGTGTCTTCAGCTTGCGCCATTTAAGGCTTTCATCTTTTCAGTCTGTGACCCTTAGCTCAATCCAGGGCTTCATGGAGCTGG